AAGAGATCTAGGACTAGTAGAGGAAGCAGAGAGTAGGGGAGAAGGATAGTAGGAGGGGTAGCCTAGACACGCCTAGGTAATACCCAATAGACAATGAATACCGAGGAGGGCACAGCCCAAATGCTCTGGCGCAGATAGGCGGTTCGGGCGAGGAAAAGGACCAGAACGAATACACAGAGGATAGAAGAGGCTGGTAGAGCCTCTAGGGGCAAATTAGAGGCAGTGGCCTAGACCACTGCCTAGACGCATGTGTCTGTCATAGCCGATTGGCTCCATATGGACGTTAAACTTGATTAAATAATAATAATAATAATAATAGCCTATCTATACGAAATAGAGTCTTGTAATATACTGTTTAATTTCGCAAGTCTACACATATATTTGTTACCCTACTCACTAGTACTTCCTTGACGCTCACCCTTGTCTTTAAAGGCATTCCCCAATTACTTATACCCCCCAAGTACTCACCCAGGCATTACCCTTAAAGCGGCGACAAAAAAGAGCAAAAATAAAACATTTCCGCCCTTAATATGTGGCTTAAGTACGGCTAAGAGGATTTGAAGCCCTGTTATACACACCCTATGGTCGTATGTACTAGGTTGCCCTAACTAGTGGGTTATATGGCGTATTGGAGAGGCGGAGGGCAGGAGTGATCCGCTTTCACAAGGTCAGCTTGTGAACCGACTCGATTGACGTTCAAGGAAGTTATAAAATAGATGGTTCTAATCTCAAGCCCTAAAGCGCATCATGCTGCTGGAATCGAGCAGTAAAAAAGATTCGTACCGGATCCCTTTGTTAGCAACATTGGTTGGGTCACTCATAGTTTCGGTGACCTCAGGCGATGCAGTGGTCCACCCCTGCAGCAACGCCCTCCAGTAGCATGCATCAGCAGCTGGAGTCAAATATCGCTCGCGAAATACATTCACATTGTTGTCTGCGATCATGCGAGCCTTGATAGGGTCATCGAGAAGCTCTTGGATCTTGTGCGGTAAATCCGTCCAGTCCCTCTCCACCTGAACGAAGTTCTGCTGTGGACCGGACGAGGCGAGAAGATAGTGATGATGTTGGATATATTGTAGTTTATGAATCACTACTACGGATCGACAGGCCTGGCGATATTTGAGAGATGCAGAGTAGGACCGACCTAGAAGACATTAGCTGGACTTTTTCGTCGATAAGGACGATGCTCAAATAATGAGATACCCCATACCTTCCACATGAGCGATGAACCGGTAATCGCAATGTTTGTCCATACTAAGGTAGTTGGCTTTGCTCTTCCACTCGATCTCCTTCACATCTCCCCAGGCATAGTTCCGTGCAACCTCGAGTAGGGTACGTCGTAGCTTCGGAGCGAAACTGAGCTTTCCACGCCAGACCAGCTTGTCCTCTTTCTCGTCCCAGGGGAGCTCATGCTCTTCCACGTATTTGACTACCTCGTCATATGGCCCAATTCGATTATCGATGTGGCCCCAAGACCAGAAGCCAAAGTCCGGCATAAGCCAAACGGACTCCTCCGTAGCCTTTCGTGCCAATACCCAGAGGGGATGATCTGGTCCAGCAACGTCCTCCAATTTGTCTTCAACAGAAAATATAATCTCCGTGTCTGGGATAGCAGCGAGCTGTGGCGCCGAGATTAGGGCCCGATGAATTGAAGCCAAGATCCCCAGAATCTTACGGCGGTGATCCTCCCCCTTGGCCAGAGCTTTAAGAACATAAAGCCGTCCTTGGTAGACAGCCACCCTGGCCATGCCATCTACCATCTTGATATTGTCGATGTCAACCCTCTTGATTCCATGTCTGGCTGTCCAAAATGACTGGGCGCGGGTGGGATCTTCAAAAAGACCGGGGAAGTAAGTGGTACAGTGAGTTTCATTGTAGGAATACTCAAGCGGATCAATATAAGGCCGCGTGAGAGGTCCAGAGGACGAGGAAACAGTGCCCTGGAGTGGCAGATGGGCGGGACATTGAAGACAGTTGTCACACTTAAAGATAGTGGAAGTCTGGCAAGCACAGTGGCCAGCGGGGATTAGTTGATTGAGTATTGGGTGGATGTTGTCTCTATCAGAGTTAACCCCTAGCCATAGTGACCAGACAGTGACTCCAAGAACCGCAGCCAATGCCACAATCGCTATGTGGAAGGCATTAGGCTTCATAAGCCGCCCCATCTCAGCATTCCTTTCGTTGTGTCGTAGTGAAAGGGTCGGGTATACGCAGATATTTCAGGGAGCGATAGAGGTTGACCCCAGCAGACCGTAAATAGTCAGTGGCTAGTAGAGGGGGGGGAAGAGAAAACCTCTGCTAGTGGCAATGGAGGATTACCCACCTGCGATAGTTGGCCAACTCCAAGTCGTATAATGTAGTATCACTATGTAAAGCGCTAATTAAACAAAAATCCCTGTAGGGCATGACTGGCTGAACATCCTTGTCACAATTTCAGCCCATTGCGATATCTACAATCTAAGAAATTCAACGAAAGCGGCGCGTACCTCTAAGGCTTCGCTTTCTTTGTTGTGGGCCCTTTAGACCCTGAACGGACCCACTATAGGATCCTTCGTGGGAAAGGATCGACTTGCCCTTAACAGATCTTGGTATTAGCTTATTTTTCCTAGTCAAATGTCTTACCAGAATATGCACGGTGACTGCGCCGCATGGGGCTCTTACTGTCTAAAGGGCGTGCTCAGCTGAACTCCTTGCCATGGAATATATAACACATGTGATGCACGTCTAAGTACCTCTGAGCATATTAGTTCGCTTTAGTTTCAGCATGGTTTATCTTTGCCTTGTTTCCCAACTCCCCGAGACGCAAATAGCAGTAGACAAGTGACCGACGTACTTACCACACACCTCACACCCTCTGCACCCTGTCTACGTTGGTTTCCTTATTCGGCGGACGTCTAAAGAATGTCAGCCCTGGCCCCATTTTTAGCAATTACCTGGTGTACGGAGCGGCCAACTACAATCCTACTCCTGGCAAATGTGGGTGTTGTTCTCTTTTCGGACAGGAAAACATTCTACAACCTCGTCATATGTCTCATTAACAGCCCTATCACGTAGAGTCCTGCATATTTATTTTCAAGGGCTTTGCAGATATGCCTGTCAGCTACAAAAGAAGGACGACATCTTTCATTCAAGAACGACAGTTCTGAATTCTCGATTCGCGTCCGCCCATTCCTTAAGAAATATCGTTCCTACCCCAAGACGGCGAGCGATGTTAGAGTCCAGATTCCTTTCAATAATCATCACATTTAAGACAGGAAGAATTTCTTGAGTCCTGTACCGGAAAATTAACTCGTCGTAGTCCAGGTCAGGGTTCTCTTTGTATCTTTTCTCAAAAGCCAAAGCTGTTGCACCGTCAAAAATAGCCCCATCTGTCACTGATAATGCGATGAATTCTCTAGTTGTATTCATAGAGGCTCTTTGGTTATATGTGGGTATCCACAGGGCACCAGAAGGCACTCCTTTCCGTGACCGGACAATGAACATGTCGCCCTTTTCACCAAACTTGAAACCATCCAATGAAAACTGTGCAATCTGGCCATAAACTAGGATATGGCCAGGAACCAGTTCGCAATGATCCATGAGTTCGATATTATCGTTCGCGAATCCACCAAAGGCATCCTCCCAGAACGCGTCATACGTAGGCCATCTAGCAGTCAGAGTATCAATAGTCGAAGTGCTGAGCGTTGGGTCAACTGGGAAATCACTTGATATGCAGCCTTTCAACCAGGCCATTGCTATGCCAATCGCATTATATCTTCCAAAAAAGAACTTCCGTATGTAAGCTCCGGGCTTACAGATGTTAAGGCCCCTTTTTGATCCATGTTTGGGAGTCATCCAGATTGCAAGCCCAGCTAAAACAACTATGGAATGCGTTATAGGCCCTTCATGAGATACCCATGACCAAGAGGGAAACCCGTCTCTCTTGGCATTTGTACCTTTGCCTGTGGGCAACCAGACAACAGCTTGGTCCATGTGCGAAATCGGTAACCCATAATAGATGCCTTCATCTCCATGCATTGTGCGTAAGACTGCAGAGATGGCATATAGAGCGTCTGAGCGAAAGGTCAAATTTCGAGTGGTGTACTGTTCCACTACAGTCCAATGCTTGTCTAACGTTGGAAAATTATATCCAGTGGCGGGTTCACAGGGCGCCTTGGACTCGAATCTAACTCCTGGATCTGGATAGACATAGTAAATGCCATATTCAGTAAAATAAAGAAGTCGTGAAGAAAGCATAGCTTCTTGAAGGGTCCATCCTCTCGTGGACCACGTACTGTAGTCTATACATGTTGCTAGACTTGGTGCTCGGTTATTTAGAGTCACATCACCTATTTGCAAGATGCCATGCGCCCAGGAGCGAGGTCTGGTCACTCCGGGTAACCCATAGTTTGAATCCTTGCCTGCCAATGCAACTAATGTGTATAGCGCCCATGCGTAAATACGATCCATTTGGTTAATCTGATCCGACTTTTCATTTTCATCACTTTGATTGATGCAAAGCTGATCAACCCAAAGATATTGCATCCCCATTTTATCGCAGGCATGAAGAGCATCTTGGATTGTGAGGGGAAGTTCCTTTCGCTCAAAATAGGGTAATGATGATAATTCTAACTTTTGAGTTTTGCCGTAGACATAGCTGAGTGCCGCATACTCTGAGTCTGTGGGGGCTTTGATCACACGATTCTTGTGGACGTCAATTACTTTCATCCTCTGTGGTCGGTGGACACGCTCTCTGCTCAACCCCGTATTTATGGAATCACACCAAGTGCAAATCGTCTTCCAATCCACATATCCACCCACGGTTGGAGATGTGCAAGGCTCTGTAATGTCCTTGGTCTTCGCACTATGGATACCATGTCCTTTACGTTCAGTAGGCTGGCTGTCTATGGCAATGCTAGCCGTGTACCGCCAATTCTTACCATTAAAAGTGTAACTAAAAATGCCACTCCATAGCTCTAGGTCCAGCGTTCCGAGACGCAAACAACCCGAATCTAACAATGCCAGGTCATTATATGTGTTCGCAGTATGCACAAATAACCGGCAAAGACAGCACTTTGAGCTTCTTTCGAAGATGTCGGGAAGCGACACTGTGACCTTCACGGTTTGCTTGAAGTCTAAGCGCCGACAGACAATCAAGTGTTGGACTCTTAAGTGACGGCAGAATGGGCATAGTGAAGCGTCTTCCCCGCTGCTTGGGATGGAACAAGTGAGGCAGTGAGAATGAAAAAGGTCTTGGATAAATTGTTCTCGATTGCCATTAGAACCCTTCCAAGCAACCTCTTTGCAGAAGCTACAGTTGATGCTTTCGGCTTGGCATTCTTCAGCCATAATTGCGATGTCAATACACCCGGCACTGCACCTCACATTGGATCAAGCGACACGATAGTGTATTCTGAATACGTGAGCAACACTTAAAGAAGGCTTTCACGATTCAACCCGCGTTCTTGGCGTGCATATCTAGCTCACCTTGGGTGTCAACCTCGGTGCCCCACCATGGACAAACGGGCTGGGGTAGTTAGGCTTGAACAGTCGATTTATCAAATACTATGCATCCAATTATAAACCTCAATCTATATAAACAACATGGATTGAACCCTGGAAAACTCCGGGTGCGGAGGAGCTTGTAGTTTACCCTGCTGATCAGTCAACTTGGTTATGGCTACTATTATGTCTTCCCCGGTAATGTTGATGAACATAATGGTTTTATGGTCTTCAGATGACTTTTATCGGAGGTTTTATAAAAACGTTCACCTAGGGTAGATATCTTATAGCTTTTCTCGAATTATCATGGTTCAACGTAATGTTTTTTCAAAGATTAGGGCATCTGAAGTGGCGAGACACCAGAGTCTGACTAATGCGGGGGAAGATAGACAACGTCTCAAGTAAGCAACAATCCCCTCCTCCTCTACCAGGAGTTGTCGATCGACCAAGTCCCATCGTTTTACAGACTCACTACTACAATGCCCACTGCAAAGGCAATCCTGAACGGCACCATTCTGGCCGAAACCTCTACCTGGGAGGAAGTCGAAGGAAACATCTATGTACACATAACCCCTCCTTCGCCCCGCAGTTGGATATCAATCTGATTAACGATGCAACAGTTCCCCCCATCGGCGATAAGGGAGTCTCTTTTCGCCAAGTCGGATCACACGACATATTGTGGGTGGAAGGGCGATGCAAAATACTTTTCCATTGTTCTTGGAGGTATTATCTTCTATTGTCTGGCTTGGTATGTGAGTACTATTACCAGAAGCATGCTGATGTTGGCCGGGTAGATGAGACCGTTCCAAATGCGGCATGGTATTATCCAGAGCCGTTTGATAAGGCAAAGCATATTAAGGATTTCGTAGCTTTTTGTAAGTTGGACATCGAAGATCTTCCTTCTGTGGTTCTCTCTCTCTTCTACACGATTCATGTTTCCGGTTATTCTGTCCTCGATGCTAATTCGTAGTAGATCCTAATAAGATCGATGTTAAGGTTGAATGATTTGTATTTTGGCTATGGGCTGAAGCAGTGACTGTTTTGGTGTGTTAAGTAGGATATAGTCAAATACAAAGGGTACAGACCCGTACTCAACATGTGGCGAGCTCTACCGTTTTACTATCATTAACTACAGAGTCCAATCTGAATGACATTATCAACAATCCTCTAAACGCTCTTATTTCATGTCATGTGCTGTCATAAAGCGGATATGGTCGGTCATATAGGAACCTTGTGTTGACTGGGTGCGCACAATGTCATATACCCTCCGAGGCTGAGTCAACACACCTGTCGCTGAAAAGCCATTCAGTCTCCAAACAGGGAGTTGTTATACGAGTTTTTATTTCCCGAGTACATATCATCAGGTCAATGTGAGTGCGTGGAAGCTATCTCTTGACCTTGTATTGTCGATCAACCAGACATAGTGGCATTAGTCAACTCGGTCAACAACCCAGTCCAATCAGTATCTCCCAGGTCGAGGTTAGCACTATTGTCGAGCATCTCAGACCATATATCTTCCAGTTGCCTCTCGCCCGTATCATCCAAAGTATTAGGTAAGTCACCCGGTGGATCCAATTCGATCGTGGTTGCTGGTGTATAGCTGGCTGCAGACGTGGAAGGCAAGGGCTGCCTCGGCGCATCCTGACCGGCCGGGTTTACACTGGCAAAGGAATTGCGGTTTGGAGAAGCAGCCAGCTTGCCATGTTTCCAGTGCTTTTGTAGCACACCCATCATGGCATTGATACCCTCTTTCACTAGTGAAGACGATAGCTGAGCGTTTCTTAGCATGCGACACGCATCAAGCACTTCCTCCTTTCGCTTCTCAGCTAGAATATCGTCCCAGTTGAAGCACACATCCAGCAGCAAGATCACAGCAGCCATGAATACGTGGTGCATAACGGACCAGACCACTGAGCTTGGCGGTGTGAACTTTGGTTCGTCTTCGTCCATGATCTTTTTGATCTCCAGTACCTTTCGGGCTGATTGAAGGCATACAATATGGGAATAGGAATAAAGTGGCTCACGAGCTCCGCGGATAAAAAATTGCCGATGCAGACGGCACAAGCGTGAAAAGTAGCCTTGTTGTAGGAGACATCTTTGCCATGCAATTGTTGGTCGGCTCTGGTACAGGGAGGCGAATCGACGCCTGGACGTTGGGTCAAGGCGGAAGAATTCTGGTATCTCAGCAAGGGCTTGGTGAAACTTTCGGTCAAGTTCAAGAATCTTCGGGTAGCTGACTTCTATTCCATATAGGTGCTCATGGGACGTAGCGTCAATGACTTCACGGCACACGATACCAAGCTTAAGTCGCTCGAGAGAGAAAGACATGTCCGTTGGTATCGAGCTCGGTCGCGACAATCCACCATATCCCTCAAACTCGTCATCATCAAGATTGAGTGGTCGGTCTACCCTCATGTGCTCTGGGTTAATCAGATAGGTCCACTCTTGAGGACCGCTTAGGAACCCGAGAAACCTGAAAATATTACAATTAGGGAAAGCCAGACATAACACCAAAGGAATAAGACCCTACCAGTCGTATGATGCGATATCCCACCAAAGCCGCCTCTTTGTCTCTAGCTCCACCACATCAAATGAATTAGCCTCCCTTTCCTCTCGTAATCGCGGTGAATCGATGCAATGCAGCTTGAGATTCTTTGCTTGGCTAATAACTGCGCCATGAACGAAAAGACCACTGACTGATGCATGGCAGCTTATATTGGATGCATGGTGCATGATGACCATTGCTGCTTGTAAGCCCTCGACCGTGGGATTGACTGGGTAGTTGCTTTGAATCAGGGCGGCGCCGGTCAAAAACGAAAACTCGCGACTGCAAAGCTCTGCATGAATAGAAGACTCCACGGATAGTTGCAAAAACAACGAACTGGCGGCAATACTGAAAAAGAGGGCTAAGTGATTCAAATTAGGCGGTTGGCCTCTTTCAATGGCTCGGTAGATACCATCTATCTGATCCTCCACGCGCCTAGGAAATATGATATGATAGAGGTAGTCAATACAGTTAGTATAGTATCGAAACAGTGCCATAGCCTCGTGCTTATGGGGGAGAAACGATAGCAAATTGACTGCCGCAGGATCCTCCCGAGAGGCGTTCCAACTTCGGCAGGAAACCGGGAGCAGCGTTCCCGGAGGAGCAAAATCATCCTTATTCCGCAGCTCATCGAGTTCATCTCTCAGCAACTTTGGTGTGGCTGTTGGCACTCGTTGACCCATATGAATGTTCTCCAGCCAGTCCGCTGTCATCAATGATTCTCGGCTGCGGTACGATGGCTGAGGGTTCGTAGCAGGGTGTGTATCCGCACTTCGCATCTCCTGAAGCTCGGGTGTGTTTCCCTGGCCAAGGACAGTTGCCTCCCTTCGGCTTCCATCTTCCGATCCTACATTATGTGTGTCCGCCGCGGCCGGCGCAATAGCATAGCTGCATGGCAGTCTCCGAGTGACGCAACTACTGCATGGCTGTTGCCGGTTACATTTCAGCTTTTTGCGCCTGCATGATTCACAAGATACCGGATCCTGTCTTGTGACACGTTTTCGAGGCTTTTGGTGCAGTTCTGGTCCAATTCTACGTTTCATCTCGGGAGATGTTGACAGATGTCGTGAGTCGTTGGATTTCGGCCAATTACCGGGCGGGGGGATCACGTGCATCATAGCTATGTTATCACGACAGCAACCGAAAGAAACAACAATATTGCGTAGAGATAGGCAAAGGTAGATAGTTTCACAGAAGGTAGCAAGCGAGGGATTCTTCCGATCTTTGTCCAGGACTTCAGAATGATTTTATTCGCCATTATCAACAGCTTTACCGCTTCTGAGCCCTCCCGGAGCTTCCGTGGATACTCCGCCCGGTCACAACGATGGAGACAGGAAGGCTTTTTGGGTCAAAATTCTAACTACCTGGTCTTTTTTTGTTTTTTATTATTATGTACCCCCACGGATGCTCCGAGTGGCTTGACACGGCTCTACTTCTGATGGCTACCTGGTATAATATACATACCGTTCTGTGGAGCGAATTGTGACAGAACACCCCTGCCACTTTCTCAAATTCACGGATAACGTGCCCTAAGAGAACGTAACACCTTCAACTCTATCAATTTGGTACAATGGCCAAAGGAAACTCGACACCACCGAGCCAGAAACCTCCCAGCGAGTATACGTATGTCTTGTCGCAGAATGTTGTCGATATCTTGTGCAATAGCTAACTGAGCTTCACAGACCGCAGGCATGTTTAACAATTTTGGGCTCCTTTACCGGTCTATTTTGTACAGTGGGATTCATGAACTCGTTCGGGGTGTTTCAAGAATACTATGGAAAGGAGCAGCTCGCCGATAAGTCCGAATCAACGATTGCATGGCTAGGCGCAATCAGTATCTTCTGCATTTTCTTCATCTCAGTATTCTCTGGCCAACTGCTTGATATGTTTGGACCTACTGTCAGTCAATTTTCCTGATAGCTAAAACGCAATAACTAATATGTGACACAGTTGATGCTCTGCGTGGGCTCGCTAGGCACCGTGTTTTCACTCATGATGGTCTCGCTCTGCAAGGAGTTCTACCAGTTCATTCTAGCGCAAGGGATCCTTCTCGGAATTTCACTCGCGCTGCTAACGTGCCCTATGCTCGCTCTTGTAGGACAGCACATCAAGGTGAAGCGTGGTGCAGCGCTGGGTATAGTGCTCGGCGGCTCTTCTCTCGGAGGCGTGATGTGGCCTATTGCGATCAACGAATTGCTTCAGAAACCAAACATTGGATACGGATGGACGATGCGAATTGTTGCATTCATCATGATCCCCCTACTCTCTGTCTCCTGCATTTGCTGTCGGCCACCTAAGAGAAGCCCTTCTCCAACTCAACAACCTATGTCTGACGATGAAGAGGCCACAATAACCGAGACAAAACCATCCGTCCCTAAAGCGGACTTTTCCGTTCTCAAAAAGCCCAGTCTTCAGCTATCCTGCCTCGCATTTTTCATCATCTATTTCGGGATGTTTTCTCCGTTTTTCTTTACAACCTCCTACGCAGTCGCGCAAGGGTTCTCAACCGACCTGGCGTTTTATACCATCTCAATTGTTAACGGTGCTTCGTTCTTCGGTCGTGTGCTTCCTGGTATTGTCGCGGACCGGTATGGAAAGTTCAACTGCTGTATCATCTTTACCTTCTTCTCTGGTATTATTGCTCTCTGCTGGACAAAAGCTACATCCGTGGCTGGTTTAGTTATGTTTTCTCTCGCATATGGATTCGCATCAGGAGTAGGCTTTTACAGTCGCACAAAGTTATATATGACCAGACTAACAATTATTGACGCAGGCTATCCTTTCTCTCCAGCAAGCCTGCGCAGCACATGTTTCCACGCCACAAACAATCGGTTTAACCATGGGCACTGTCATGGCAGCCACATCTTTCTCGTAAGACTTAGACATGCTTCGAGTTACTGCAAGCACCACAGCTAACAGTATGGACAGGGCTATGGCTGGAATCCCTATCAGTGGTGAATTGGCGGGTAAATACGGATATCTGGCACTGTCGATCTACTCGGGCGTGAGTCTCTTGGTAGGTAGTGTTCTATTGGTGGCGGCACGATTCGTACAGAGTAGAGAGCTGTTGGCTGTTGTGTAGAGAACTTATTGTGGGAGCTGTGGGTTTCTAACCTTCTTTAAAGGTGCCCTGTGCGTGATTGATAAACCTTATTTGACCATGGCAAATTGGCGACCATAGATCGTATAATATATGGCTCATTCCACTCTATTGATGCATTCATGGACTTGAGGGAGAAGAAGTCCGTCGGAAAGACTAGGTTAAAGAGATCATCCTGAAATATCAAACCATCCGTAAAAGAACTATACTAAATAACTTTTCCAGAACCCAAGACACTTCAAATAAACGCCAATATTCCCTCCGATGGCATATCGACTTCATGAAAATACACCGGAGCTACGAGCGAGAATGTCCGAAGCTATCAAGTCTCTCAGAAACTATGTCCAACATCTGTAATTATGAACCAAAATAACTTACTCTATTCTCAGAAATTGCCCAACGGCGAGTTGTCCTATCTATCCCCTTCGGAAAATACACATCAACCCTCTTCAGACGGTTGTCGGCGCCCCAGATATCCAGTAGTGTTAGCACGAAACTCTTATGTGGTCGGTTCAGCCGAAGAGTCGCGTATTGAATCCGTTGCAGTAGCTGCTCACTGATGAACTCTGCGATATCCATCTGTCGCATTGTAAAATGGGTACCTGGGGTGCCGCACAGCTCGAGGGGTATTTTGTATAGTATATCTAGGGCCTCTGCTGTGATCTACTTGTTGAGTAGGAGGACGGCGGGTGTGGTGCGAGTGATGTATATGCGGGGCTTGAGGCAGTCGGGGTCGGACGCCGTACCCTCGCTAATACGCTCTTCTGCTAAAGTCTTAATATGGCGCTCTATTGTATCGTAACCTCTTTTGTATTCGTTTGGGTCCATGCAATATGGATATATCATACGACGGATTTCGACAGGTAGATCGAGGAAGGATGGCATGGTTATAAGAGTAAATTAGGTTGATGGTGACTCTCTGAATCAATTATAATTGTTCAGCATGGTGTGAAGCTGAAGTCGTGAAGTCGTGAGCTAGGATGAGAGGTCACGAGATCATGTTGTCATGTCCCAGCTTACTTGCTTGGTTCTGCTATACTTAGGACTATCTACAGAAGCAGTAGCACTCCATGCTGATCAAACCCCGCGTTTTGTTCACTAGCGTCTATCTTCTATATTGGTAATTATAACCATCTTGATTTGCCCTGATACGTTAGATTTCCGCTCCGCTTTCATCGGGTATTTGGAAACCTCCTTCTTTAGCTCCGGGTGTTTCTACAAGGCCCGTGCACTATAAATTCAGTCCGGTATTGGTGGATTGCCACAAAATGGTTAGAAAATTTTCTCAGAAATACCCGGGGAGATAACAGTATGGAAAAAGTGAAGTTTTTCCGGAGGATTCCCGGCCATGTTATTCAGAGTATAGAGTTGATCGGGTTCTAAATAAACATATAGATTATAGCCACCGAGGTATTATAACTAAAGAATAATACAGTAGACCTGATACCCCGCATAGATGACAGCCTTGATATACACACTTTCCTCTCCCCTTTACCGGTACTGGTATGAGCATTCACTCATTATTCAACACGGGGAATTTTCACCGGCACTCGTATCATCCACTGTAGAAGCTCATAGGCAAGCTGAGTGACTGTGAGCGCAGTCGTTTCCGCTTTGTTATCATAGACCGGCGCAAACTCGACAATATCTGCTCCGACAATTGGTAGGTTGGCTTTCGACAGCCCGCTCAGAATCTGCAGAAGTTCGCGGGTGGTCCAGCCGCCTGGTTCGATGGTTCCAGTGCCAGGAGCAAATGCTGGGAACGAGAGAATCAGTCAACCGCTCAGGGATTCATCCCCAATTTTTCACTTACCAGGGTCGAGTGCATCAATGTCGATGCTTACATAGACCAAGTTGTCGCCAACGGTTTCCACAATTCGACTCACAATCCCCTCAATGCCAAGCTCATCAATCAGTCGGGCACGTATGTGTGTAAAACCACACCGGGCATCGTTGTTGAGATCATAGTTCTGATCCATCAGCATAGACCTGGATCCTAGGTGCATGTTACCCTGTTCGAGCAGCAGGCCCTCTTCGTGAGCAATATGAAGCATGCTCCCATGCGTCACCTCCGAGTATTTGGTCAAGCCTCCACCCAGCTGTCTTGGGTCCCATGTGTCTAAATGGGAGTCAAAATGTAGAATAGCGACTTTACCCCAGATTGGATTCAATGCCCGAAGTGCGGGCAGGGCTGTGACTTCCGGTTAGCAGCTGTGGAGAAATCATAATGGGATGCATCGAGCGCAATGTACTGATTGTGTGGTCTCCGCCAAAGGAGAGTAATCTGACATGATCTGCCTTTTGCGAGTTTCGAGGTTTTCTGGATCCGATCGATTTCCAGCCTGCCTCCAGTTGTTGGATGGCCTCGAGCTTGTCGAAGGGCGTGTTGGAGATATCTCCACAGTCCACCACCGCAGCCCAATTGAGGAACGGATTAACGCCATGATCCATACTGTGTGGCTGTTACTTCCGCGTGTCAAACCAAACCCCCCTCATCGGGGCCATACCTGTATGCGAAGCCAGGTTCCAGTCTCTGCGATCCAGATCGAACCGCCGACGGTCCGAACCGTTCTCCCGGTCGATAGGTCACACCCAGATCAAAGGGAGCCCCAACAATCCCGATGTCAAAAGATTCATCAGCCGAGGGGTCAAAACAGTTGGTCCAGTTGAGGTGTGCAAATGTTGCAATCCCGCTGTATGGCGTGCTGAAATCATTCTCCATGTGAAACTGATCTTGGGCTCCCAGCAGCCTCATATGGCGAGCCTTCCCAAATATGCTGCTCTCAATGAACGACGATGATGAGGAGCCAATTAATGGTTGCTGAGCCACTTCATACGGAACTACAAGGGCGGCCGTCAGTGGCAACAATGCTGGCCAGGCGATGGCGACTCCCCCAGGACTCATCGTTTCTCATCAACTCGGTATCTGAGGCTGCTTGGACTTTGAGAACTGTTTTGTAGAGGCTCGAGAGCGGATCTGGGGACCAATTTATTGCAGAAGGCAGCTAAGCCTGTAGCTTCAAAAATCCTTGCTCTCTGTCTTGGAGCGTTTTCGGGTGAAGCGCCAGTAGGCGCCATCGACGTTTGCGGCTATCTTAACTAGAAAGGGTAATGGAACCGCAGTACACCGAGACTATGAAGATCATATCGATAGGTCCCGACTCACACCCGGATCACATGGCTCGTAGCTTTGTTGCAGGTGAAAGTGGCTGCTTTCGAAAACTGCTGGTGCTTGATACGGATTCTCTGAGACAATTACAAAAGTTGACCTGTCGCCCTATGCGATCTTATGGTTGACATTCAATGAATATATCTGCAGCCTTACCATGGAGCCGTTAAAATACGGTTTGGATCATCCTTTTTGTAAAAAGCTGTCAGTTTGGAGCAGATAACCTTGTACCATTGTATTACTACAAGCAAAATTGAATTTGCCTACAAGATGTGTCATCTGAATCGACCTTAGAGTTGTCTTTCCGTGCAGTACAGCTCTCTAACAATCGCTTAGTTTTCCATATCTTCTAATGGGCTCCCATGCAGAATTAGGTTTTCATAGCAGTGAAATCCTTTTTTGTTGCCTGCTGGATTCCCGATTTCAAGACATCCAGCCCCTACAAACTAGAACTAGTTGTGGATATTTCCCTAGAAAAATGCAGCACTCCTATTGTAAGCTGAAGTCTATACATATTCGCTTGGTCAAACTCCATGCTACTATATATGCAGCTAAGGCTGTGCGTCATGCGGATCGTCGTTACCCTTATCCATCCTTGCAAATGCATGCAAGACCTCTTGGTCCCAATTGGTCCAGGCGACAATCACATATTCCAGAAGGCCGACGGTGTACAGAGCCAGACATTGACCGATCCAAAGACCAGCCAAGCCGTAGCCTCGTGTAGCAAGCCAGATCCCCAACGGCAGAGCTGCCGCGTAGTAAGTAAAGATATTGATAGCCGCGCCAAGATGTTGTTTTCCGATTCCTCGGAGACACCCCCCACAGCTGCTATTTAGTCCATCCGCAACCTGGAAAGCTGCTACATACGGCATCACGTCACCAACCAACTGCACCACTGCGGCATCGTCGTTGAAAATCTCGCCAAATTGGTACCGCGTGAGCATCAAAATAATTAGGATAACAGCTCCCACGGAGACACTCAGCCAGGCGGCCACATGGCCTGTCAGAGCGGCACCCTTGGAGTCCCGGGCGCCGAGAAGGTTTCCCACTCGATTGGAGGCCGCGACACCGATCCCAAAAGGCACTGTGTTGAGAATTTGATCGGAGGTCATAATAATACTCTGTGCCGCCATGGGAATAGTACCCAACCATCCGGCGGCAATCGCAACGATCTCGAATGCCGCCCATTCCGCCCCAACATGAAGAATCCCCAGCAGCGCTAGGCGAGTAAAGATTCCGGTATTGTGGAAAGCCTCTCGTGACAGACCACCCCAGCACTGGTAGCCTGCGACGAAAATGGTATACAGACCGAGAAGGAAGAAGGAGAGCCAGTAGGATAATCCCGTTGCCAGCGGGGCACCCAGCAGACCATGTCCCCACAAATTACAGAAAAGGTGGTTTAGGCCAATGTTAATCGGGGCCACAATCAGTAGCACGTATGTGCTGGGGGAATTGATGCCTAAGCTTCACTTTTTAGCCGCGCTTCGATAATGGGCAAGGGTTACAAGAGATATACCTTGCGCCTGCAAATACTTTTTCAGGGCCTCAAAATATATGTACCCCAGACCCCCCGGAATTAGGTAGGTCAGAAACTGAGCTGCATCTTTGGCCAGCGCTGGGTCTTGTCGCAGCGTAAGAAAAAGGTGTTCTGAAAGGCTCCAAAGCAGAGTCACTGGAAGGTACAACAGCCCAAGCACAAGGAAGGCTCGCTGCAGGTAAATGCCAAGTTGATACCTATTCGTACTCCCCGTAAAAGCCGAGGACGCAAGCGTATCGAGGGCAGTGGTTCCTCCCAGCGCAATCAACCAGGCGGTACAAGTGGCGAACATATAGGCAAATGCAGCGGCCGCGAGGTTTTCCGGAGACGAACGACCAACCACCAGTATCGAAAAGGTCTGCAAACTGTTTTGTAGCGCATAGGACATGATCACGGGGAGGGAATGGTGAAGCAGAAGGAAAGCCTCATTGGCAAAGGCTGGAATGCATTCTAGGTTTCTGGACCGGGAGAGCCCCGCCGCGAGCAGAGGTGAGTGTTCGTCAGAGGCGAGGTGCATAGTGGAGAGAGTGACGAGATGAGGGAGATTGGAATTGACCAGAGGAGTTCTGCACGGGCTTGTTTGTATATGCTGTAGACCCTAAGCTGACGGCGGCCCGGGCTTCCTCTTTAGGGTTGATAACCGCAGCTCCGGTTTCCGCGCGCCACCGATGTAAAATTGAACTTCCCGGCGGTTGCCACTCCAAGGCATGTATCCGCTGCTGTTCTCCAAACATCCCCCCAAAATTGACAATTATGGAAGACGTGATGTCGGTTCCCAGACTTAATTTCCCAGACAGAAATCGCGCCCCCTGTGCCAATTGCAAAACTGCCAAGCGCAAGGTCAGTTCACTCTGCAGCTAGGAAGCCCCTACGATCCCCTCTGCCCGGCCTAACGCTCTGGCTGATATAGTGCGACCGGGCAACGTCCCTCTCCTGTTCCCGATGTCGCAAGCATAACATCGCGTGCATTCCCTCCGCCACGGCTCGATGGCGAGTAGAAAGTATCGATTCTACCGGACAGCGACTGCGGCATTCTTATCGCGCGGCTCGAACCGAAGGGTCTGTATCCTCGCCAGTAGAGCAGACGGCTACACAGACACCCTCGTCACCCCCCTGTGGCGCCTCTATTACTCCCCTCCCCTTCACCAATTTTGACCTGGTAGAAATTAATGTCCCTCCCTTTCCAGCCATCGACGAGGACTTGCCGCCCGACCTGGATCCCGTTTCCAATTCCGCACTGTCGCCGAGTGCCTCGGCCGCGCTGCCTGCGATTGGGGACCTACCCGCGGAGCTCGACGACCCTTATCTCATTCCAGCTCCCGCAATAGCACCCTGGCCGACCTCATACTTGTGGCAGGCCTTCGTGCAGTCGATTGCGCCCGGGGTCAGTCTCGAGGAAGAGGGAAGTGATAATAAGCTGACTCAATATTTCGCCTCACGAGTGGCTGGCACCCCCTCGTTGTTCTCGGCCATTATCTTCCTGTCCCATGCGGTCAAAACCAACTGGACCACTGATATATCGTCACACATCGATTCTACTGTAATAGCTGCCGTCGCTATTGCCATGGAGCAAGAGGCTGTGGCGCATATAGGCGAGGCTATGTCCCGGCACTTGCAGCCGCCGCCGCAGAGCTCGGCGCATTGCATCACCACCTTGACCACCTTAATCACCTTATGCTCAGCCTACATTGCCCAAGGCAATATCCCCAAACTCTGGGCCTGTCTGCAACAAGCCATGGAAGTAGCTCGGAAAGGCTTCGCAGCCAGTGTCGCTATCGATGAATCGTTTCTGTTTTTAGTACGCTGGCTGGGCTACATCCACATTGTGGCTATGCTGGATGAAACGGGCTACTCGATAGATGCTCCTAATTACTTCAGTATCGCTGCCCAACAGGGTCACAGTTCACTCAATCCCGAGGCCATCTTCCACGATGTGGATTCCTTTCTAGGCATTTCACAGGCGGTGGGCGATCTCCTGTATCGCCTGGGCCGCATAATCCGTTTTCAAAGGTATCCCTCTACGGGGGATACGAACAAGACAGATATCACGGATATGGAAATTCGCATGCAGCTGATCCTACGAAAGTTGAAAGCCTACAAACAGGACGGCAGAGAGCTTCCATCTCATTTCGATCACTATAATGAAGCCTTGGTTCATACTGCCTTACTTCGCCTCCTCGAGTTCAAACAGGAGAATCCTCAGTCGAAACTCATGCAATCAACTGTGGCTCAGATCCTTGATTCTTGCGCTGCAGTCCCAGAGAAATCACCAGTTGCCAAGCTGATGCTTTTCCCGCTATTCTGGGCTGGGGTTCATACCACGCGGCCAGTGTATCAAAGCTTTATTCTCCGGCGTCTTGAGGTCTTGAGGAGTGGATGTTGTTTCTCCAACGTTGGTCATTTGATAGAAATTATCGAGCAAAGGTGGCTGGGCCACAAAAATGGTGAGCACAGCCAAGGTACGCATCGCCCCCTCCCTTAAGTGTTCCTCTTACATGACTAAGACCCGATAGTATCGAAGAGTGCCTCAGTGTGTGTACTTTTTTGAGGATTCATCAATCTTTTGGTAATGCTTTTGTAATATGCGGGCCAGTATGTCCAACAATATCATGTCCTAACGATAAACGACCCTCGTAGAACCCTAAATTGCGTTTCCACTACAGCTATTTATATAAGCTTACAGTCCCATTTAAATTCTGGGCGTAGACTTCTCCAAGAATCTGGGCAGGGTGCTCTGGTCATGCACCTTGGATAGAGAGACAGGATTCTTTAGATCAGATGGCTGTGGAGAAAGACCGGGCCCATACAAGGCCATATCAGGGGCGATTCCCTCTGCGTTCACCCTTTCTCGTATCAATAGGTATGGAAGAACGGATCCCAAATGCCCGCGACAGCAAGATTGCGGCGATATGGCTTTAGGAGGGAAAGTCAGACTCGGCGATAGTTTGTGTGGGGGGCGAGCCTGGGAGGGATGCAACCGGTAGAGGTTGCGGCACTGTGAGAATCATCGGACCAATTCTCGATACGGAGGCTACGCTGTTTCTTCTGTCAAGCTGGACTGGACAGATTTTTCTTTTTTTTTTTTTTTTTACCTGTATAAGTACCAGCTTAATACGCCTTTGAGATCCCTCACCCATGCATCGAAGCTCAAAAACAAGCCGAGCCTTTCCTAGTTGCTGCTTCCCCCGACGTCTGAACCATGGCATCCCTGCATCCTTTTGACCCCATCACGGCAGACGAGATCCGGCTGGTGGTCCGCATCCTCGAGAAGAGCTTCTCTGGAGTGAAATTGCGATACAAGCGCAACGACATCCAGGAGCCCATGAAAAAAGAGGTGATACCCTACATCGAGGCGGAGCGCTTAGGGCAGCCACTTCCACCCAAGCCCTCTCGTCTCGCCTACGCCATTTTCCATCGCCTTGATAACCGTGCTTTCTACAAGGCCTTGTTCGACTTAACTTCCAAAGCCGTTATCTATGCAAAGGAGCTACCTAAGCATGTACAGGTAGGGTTTCCTTGGACATGGGCCGGAATGATTATCGACTAATCCATTGTTGCATGCAGGGCCCGGTCGACCTGGATGAGATGGAAGAGATAGAAAAGATTTGCCAACAACAGTGGTTATCCAAAAGATTGCGAAGATGCAGCTGCCACCTGGAGTCGTGGTCTGTACGGAGCCTTGGATGTACGGTACTGACACGGCCAATGAGAATCGCCGACTCTTCCAATGCTATCTTTACGTGGTCGAGATCAACCACCCAGAAAACCACCATTACTCCGTGCCATGTCGGTTCTCGCCTGTCTTTGGCATAACTCATGAGCTCGTCCGGGTCGATTACTTGCCAACAGGTCTGGATCATACAGTAAGAGAAACGCAACCATGGAAGCCTGTGAAGACCGTTCAGTACGCACATGAGTTGCTGGATGAGCCGATGCGACAGGATCTGAAGCCCTACATCGTACAGCAGCCTCAGGGCGCTTCCTTCTCCACCGAGGGCAATGTGGTCAGTTGGCAGAAATGGCGCTTCCGCGTAGGCTTCAACAGCCGAGAGGGCTTGGTGATCTACAATGTGACATATGATGGCCGAAATACTTTCTACTGCCTTTCTTTATCAGAAATGACAGTGCCTTACGGAGACCCTCGCGCGCCTTATCATCGCAAACAGGCTTTTGACATAGGAGATGTCGGTTTTGGCATCACGGCCAACCAATTATCCTTAGGGTGCGATTGCTTAGGACACATTCACTATTTTGACGGGCACACAGTCAACTCATCGGGTGAGCCGAAGCGCTTGGATTCAGTTATCTGTCTCCATGAGGTCGACCAGGGTCTCCAGCACAAGCATGTTAACTACCGCACAAACACGGCTACGGTCGTCCGTAACCGCCAGCTTGTCGTCCAGATGATTTGTACCTTTGCCAACTATGAGTATATTTTTGCCTTTATCTTCGATCAAGCCGCGAACATCGAACTTGAAGTCCGTGCCACGGGCATCCTCTCCACGACTCCCTTTGACGATGACACTGAAGGGACACTTCCTTGGTCGACAACAGTGGGTCCAGGGGTGGCAGCCCCATACCACCAGCATCTCTGGTCTTTGCGGATTGACCCGGCTATCGATGGGTTTAAGAACACCGTGTTCTACGAAGACAGTGTTCCAATGCCGATCAGTGAGTACAACCCCTACGGTGTGGGCTATATCACCGAGAAAATCATTATGAAAACATCCGGGAGCGCACAAACTAGCGTGGATCGGCATCGAGTGTTCAAGATGTGCAACGCGAATGTGATCAACCCCCTCACCAAGAAGCTCGTCGCATACAAAATCCACACCGTGCCCAGCCAGATGCCTTTGGCGCACCCCAGCACGTTTGGTTACCAGCGAGCTGGCTTCGCGACCCAACCGATTTGGGTCAGCAAGTACAAAGGTGGCGAGCTGTATGCGGCCGGCGAATTTACGAACCAGAGTACATCCTCCCAAAATGAATATTCCGAGGGCATTGACGCATGGGTGGGGAGGAAGGACCCCATTGAAAATGAAGATGTTGTAGTGTGGCACGGTATGCCTTCCCATGCCCTACCCCGTTTTTTTTTTCTCAAGTGCCCTTTCGTCTTTATGGCTGAACTAATCATGCGTTTGTTTCGTTTCCTAGCTTTTGGGCTAACTCATAATCCACGACCGGAGGATTTCCCCGTTATGCCCCACGAGAAGATCAATGTTGTCCTTAAGCCCGATCATTTCTTTGCCAAGAATCTGGCACTTGATGGTCCCCCTTCTACCCAGGCATTCAACAAGTCTGTCTTGCATGAAGAACCTTTTAAGTCCGTTTGTTGTTCGGGTAACTCTGTATCAGGGAATGCAAAACTCTTTAGGATAATCTAGGGAAAGCTATTCTGTGGCAGGTAGACCAATGAATGAAAATGTAATATATATATATATATATATTTATATATTAAATAAATAAAAATAAAAATAAAGGGGTCCTTCTCCTGGGACATTGCATAAAATCTTGACCAAGAAGAATTCCTTTGTAACTTGCCAAATATATATGCTTAGAGTTGATCGGGTTCCCCACCCCGCAAAACCCGGGAAACCCTCAAAAGTCATATGACCTGGAAATCAAGATAATATATTATCAATTATATATATATACAATTAATAGAGATATACTCTGTAGAGCTTTAAAAATTGGTTTTAAGTTACGCTCTAAACCTGAAAAGGTAGGCTGTTGCTTGGTCATTAGTCACCTTACCTATCTAGGCCTAGTACCGGGTTTCGGGTTTCTTGGGTCGGGGTCGACCTAAATCTATCAAAAACCCGACTCAATAACAAACAACAACTCTAATCCGGTATCTTATCAGCACGTGGCTAACCATGTAATGCGGAACTGTTCCGATCACTGCTAAAACTCGCCCTGCAGACGACAAGTTGCCCCACAATTTGATCATTTATCTAATCGGATCGGAACACTTTGTGCGGTCATTCCGAGTCCCATTTTCTCTTCCCTTCTCTGCCCTCACTTGGCTCTATATATCCCCTCATCCAGCTTGTCGCACGTTTCTTCCCTGTAGCCAAAACTCCAATTGTTCTCAGTGATCCCGTCCCAGTTGGCTTCCCCAACACGCCCGATTGACTGCGACCAATTTCACCAACCACAGATGGACCGCGACCAGTTCAGAGCCGCTGCGCAAGCAACGGTAGATGACAGTCAGCACTAACTCTTCTTGACCCTTGATATATAAACCCTAACCATATATACAGTCATCAACTACTTTGATAGTGTCCCCGACCGGCGCGTCTGCCCCACGGTCGACCCAGGCTACCTCCGTCCCCTAATCCCCGAGCAACCCCCCGCAGAACCAGAAGAATGGTCGCAAATCCAGGCCGACGTCGACACCAAGATCAAACCCGGTCTGACGCACTGGCAACATCCGAACTTCATGGCCTTTTATCCCGCGACGGTTACCTACCCGAGTATCCTGGGTGAGATGTACTCAGCTGCGTTCAACGCCCCCGCATTCAACTGGCTATGCTCCCCGGCCTGCACGGAACTGGAAACAATTGTCCTGGACTGGGTAGCGCAGGCTTTGAACCTTCCTAAATGCTTTATGAGCTCTTCAGAGAACCGTGGTGGTGGTGTGCTCCAGGTTAGTGCCAGTGATACTATCGCCACCGTTATGGTGGCTGCTCGGGAACGGCGCGTACGCGAGCTGGCATTAGCCGAGGGATTGAAGGAGGGAACTCTTGAGTATGAGGACAGGGTGATGGACCTCCGACCCAGACTGGTTGCGATGGGAAGCAACCAAGCGCACAGTAGCACTGCAAAGGGCGCATTGATTGCAGGCACTCGGTATCGGAGTGCCGCCGCCAAGTTGGAGAATAACATGGAGCTTACCGGAGACGATGTACGGGCTGTTCTTGAGCAATGCGACAAGGACAACTTGACCCCATACTATATCACTCTAAGCATGGGAACGACGAGCACGTGTGCTGTTGATCGCATCTCTGAGATCACTGCCGTGCTCCAGGAGAAGCCTTCTTGGCAGCGGATCTGGGTGCACATCGATGCGGCATATGCCGGTTCAGCCTTGGTCGCGGATGAGTTTCAGTATCTCTCCAAGGAGCTTGCCGAAGGCGTTGACAGTTTCAATTTCAACATGCATAAGTGGTTGCTGGTCAACTTTGATGCAAGGTAAGCGCTCCTCACGTTATCTTTCAGTCGTCCATACTAACCTTGGGGTAGCTGTCTCTTCATCCGCAACCGATTCGATCTCACTGATGCTCTGGACATCACCCCCGCGTACCTGCGCAACCCGTACTCCGAATCCGGCCAGGTGATCGACTACCGCAACTGGAGCATTTCTCTCGGTCGTCGATTCCGCGCATTGAAGATCTGGTTCGTCATGCGTAGCTACGGTGTCAATGGACTCAAGGCACACATCCGGAAAACTATCCGAGTAGGCGAGGATTTCACAAGTCTGGTGCGCTGCCGGTCCGATCTTTTTGAACTCATCACCAAACCCGCATTCGGCTTGACCGTTTTCCGCATCAAGGACCCCAGAGCCCAGGCCAATGGGTCCGCAGTCAATGGAACTATTGTCGCAAAGCCTAATGAAAAACACGATGCCCTTACGAAGGAAGTATACGAGCTTATCAACTCACGTGGCGAGATCTTCATCACCTCCACCGTTGTTTCGGGTATCTATGCGATCCGCGTCATCTGCGCCAACGAGGCGGCAGATGAGAAGTATCTCCGTCGGGCGTTTGAGATTCTTGTTGAGACTACGGACGAGGTGTTGGGTCGATCGAATTGAGCGTGGTTCATGCTGCTCCGGTTGATGATAAATGTGAAATGATCTTTATAAAGTAAACTACTTCTAGTCTGTTTTAGATATTAAACGAACTATGTACATGTCCTTCGATTAAATGCACCCCCATTTAAATTCATTTTCGAGCCTTGCTTCTATCAAAGCAATGTATGTATAAATCCTGTAATAGTAGTATATAGGGCAGACGCACACATTTCCCATGAACGTCGGACACGTTCCGAGATGATCGGCGTATCTCCGTTATCCCCGCATCAGATATCAATTCCCTGCATATACACAACAGTATGCATTTGCAGACAACCAACACCTTAACGTTATCCCTCCGATCAACAAACCATAAAAATGTCACCCTCAACTCCAAAGTAAGGCCCCAAATCACAAACCCGCAAATTCCTGAACCCTTTAACAAGACCCAGACACATCCTCGTAACAGGCGCCACAGGCTTCATCGGCGCCCATGTAGTCGACAACCTGCTAGCACGCGGCCTAACCGTCCGCGCAGCAACACGCTCCAAACAAAAAGGCGAGCAAATGAAAGCCGCCAGGCCGCAACATGCCTCCCGACTCGAATTCGTCGAGATACAAGACTTCTCGCAGATCGGAGTCTTCGACGATGTCATGGAGGGTATAGACGGGGTCATCCACGTCGCGAGTGTACGTCTCAACCCATCATTCTGCCTTCTAACCCCGATCCTTTCTAACTGGTTACAACAAAGCCATTCACATACGATACTAAAAACAACGAACAAGAACTCATCATCCCGGCCATAAACGGCGTGAAATCTATCCTCTCCGCCTCGGCGAAACAACCCAGGGTGAAACGCGTTGTCCTTACATCCTCGTTTGCGTCCGTGGTTGATATCTCCAGAAAATATGAGGGCGATTTCACCTACACCGGTTCCCATTGGAATCCCTTAACCTACGAAGAAGCCATCGACCCCGCTACGGACGCGGTAGTAGCGTACCGGGGATCGAAGAAATTCGCCGAACTGGAAGCCTGGAAGTTCATCGAGCAGGAGAAGCCCTTATTCGATCTCGTTACGCTTTGTCCGCCCATGACCTTCGGTCCTGTCGTGCACCCTGTAAGCGGTGTGGCGGGGTTAAACGAGTCGAATGCGGTGCTGTGGAGTGTTGCTTCCGGGGCGGAACCGTTGCCTGTTGCCAGGGTTTCGGCGTGGATTGATGTGAGGGATTTGGCGGAGGCGCATGTGCAGGCTTTGTTGAGGAATGAGGTTGGTGGGAAGCGGTTTGTTCCTGCTTCTGGGGAGCCGTTTTCGTATGAGTTGGCGGCGGATATTATTAAGGGGAGGTTTGCCTGGGCCAGGGAGACCGTTACGGGGAATTATGAGAGTGGGAAGAAGCCTGTTCAGGCGTATAAGTTGGATGGGGAGGCTGTGACGAGGGAGTTAGGTGTGGAGTTTAGGAGCTTTGAGGAGACGGTTGTTGATTTGGTGGGCCAGGTTAAGAAGACATTTGCTTGATTTTGCTATTGGGGCTATTTATAGATAGAGATACTACAAGAGTACATGATTCGGTATGTGGTTGTCCAAGTTGTTGTGTGGTTTATAGGGGATCTTTAAGACACCGACGTAGCACTGGGATAGATAAGACACCATCACTCTCTGTGTGCAGTTGAGGGCATTGATGCAGTATATATCACGAGACACAGTTAAACAATTTCAAGCCATGAATAGACACTACACTTCATGAGCCAGGAACAGCAGGCTGTTATGTACTTCCCATGATGTCAACAGTATGAGCGCGAGGCTCTTGGTTCTCATTGGTCCGGATATGCCAAGACTCATCTATGAGATCCACAAATACCAAAGAAGGTTAGCGAACAATTTCAAAGGTTTGCACAGTTCTGAGCTAAGCCTAATGCGGACTTTTCCTCATGAACCTGCTGAAAGAAGCTAGTATAACTGATAACTGCCATCAGGAACATCTTCAATTCATATTCCTTTACTCTGTAATATTTACGTCTATATATTATGTAATCTGATGATTACTATATGCCCAGGTTTCACTGGATACATAGGATGTCAAGCCATGGCAATGTGTCGATAATTGTAATGCGCTTCTGGTGGAGCTAAGATATATATATCTCTTCGGGTTAGGGAAGACCACGATTCACACCGAGTATGGCTTATCACCCACAAAGCAATCGGAGCCATAACCTAGTACAAATAGGTAGAGGCCTTCAGCAGAACCAAAAAAAGATAAAGAAAAAGGTGCTCAAATTTCTGAAGTGCTAGTGGCAGATATCTAAAACCGTAGGTGAAATATTCCCGGGTTCCAACTCTATTTTATCCAGAGCCAGATTCTTTATGAGGGCAACGAAGAGCTAGACACTCCTTTTTATGTCCTTTTACACCATATATATCTAACACTATACAAACCTAGTACATACGACCATAGGGTGTGGAGAACAGGGCTTCCCGTCCGCTCAGCCGTACTTAAGCCACACGCCGGGAGGTTAGTAGTTGGGTGGGTGACCACCAGCGAATCCCTCCTGTTGTATGTTTTTAATTTTTCTCTTCTACCTCTACATTGTTTAGTGTTGTTCACTTGGGACAGGAGTCTCCTGTCTATCAAGATTCAAAGTCGTTGCTCATGAGCATGACTGCTAGGCAGTTTCCCCTTTCGTCTGATCGCCTCCGGGGGGTTCGTTGTCGCTGTTGCTTGAGCGCCATGATCGGTGTTATAGCCGGCATAATACATCGTCTTTGCGAGTGGCCGTTCTCCCCCTAGGCAAAGTTCCCCTATCTCACCATTGGACGCGTTCCCCATCCAACCGGGTGTCTCGTCGAGAGACTTGATACCCTCAACATGTAGCGTCGCAAGCAGAGGAGTCTTTTCTGATATCGACGCCCCGATCCGCAGCATTGCGAAAGAGTCGAGAGTCTTGGTCCATCGAGGAACCCACGCACTATAGAGGGCCAATGCCAGAAGACAAATCAAGAAAAGTCCTAATAATATCGAGACGAAGATAATTCCCCCACGGGAAATGTCCGGTTTTTGTACATCGGCACCCATATCGTAGGATATACCGATCGTCTGCTTTTGGAAGTTGTTCATCATCAACATGTCGTTGGCTAAAAATGCCGCCGAGGTGAATGCATTCTGTATTCGTTCGGAAGATGGCCCAGACGAGACCCCAGAGAAAAGCAAAAAGTACATCGCAATGTCTGCATATACCGTGACATTGCTATCCCGATGAATACGGGCATCACTCTCAAGGTATGTCCCCTTTAGACAGGGGTAAAATGTAGGCGACTCATGGTAGGTCACATCAAGAAGCGTAATGAAGGGAACGAGGCCAATACAACCAGGGTAGATGATGCCCGAGTTGGCATACGCTGCTAAGGCTGTGTGTTGCACATCAGCGAAAGACCCTTCTCCGAAAAGTGCCATGGCGATATTGAGAAGCGGGCCTTTATTTTTGACATTGCTCACATTCGTGGTTGCGTTGAGCGTATTCCACGCTGTATCGCTGTCTAGATCACGAGTAGTGAGACTGTGTGAGTTATTTCCAAAGGGGCTATTTTCGATCAACGGCCCAGGGACCTGGCCATTCTCGTAGTTCGGAAGTTCGAAGTAGCCCGTTGTGGTGTGGAGTTTTAGCTTCGTCGAATATTCTCCTGGGGTGACCTGTGGCTCAAAGCCTTCGGAAAAGCTCATTTTGAAATACAACTCCTCGCTAATGTCTTGTCGAGATCTTTGGTCTTTCCACGGAGATTGTGACATGTTGCCGGGCATGCATATCTCGACGGTATATGAAAATGAACTGTTATATTCGTAGCGGAGATAAAATGCGTCGGACGAAGGGTTGCAGTCTTCGGGAAGTATGGCTGCTGAGTTGTTCTCCCATATGGCTGTCGAATTGATGCGAGAAGCAAACTGGCGTACTAATCCAGTGTTGGTACCGGAGGGGAGCTGGGCCCAAAAGGGGTCAGCTATGGTGGTTATATTGGCGAGGGTGTTTTGGGACTTTGTCTGGAATGGCGAATAAGACGTTTCGCCAGTTTTATCGCCGAGAGTGACTGTGCCCGTACTAGAGGACCAGAGTCTCGGCTGTATATCAGTATTGACCGTGGATGCTAGAGTGAGTCTCAGCTTGGTTGCATCGAGTCCATCGTCAGCGCCTGACCAATCAGACATTGGAAACAGATCGGTGAAATCTGTAATATAGGTGAGGTGAACGGGAAGCCCGGTGGCACGCTTGATCGTGTGGAACGAGAGAAAAAGCTGCTGTATAGGCGATATAGCAGCACCTGCGGAAAAATGGATACTAAGAATATAGACCAGGTGTAGCAGGATAAGACCATAAATTTACCTAGAAGATGTAAAAACAGGGCAAAGAGTAGCAACCCAGACTTATACTTTGTCCAACCACCAAAGACGAGTTTTGTTAGGAGGTCAATGTCAGTCCACCCCTTGTCTGCTAGGGCCATGCTTTGTCTCAGGGTTGGCTGGTTGTCCTCTCGCCTCTGCTGGATATACACTACGGCGGCTTGCGAGCATACCGTAGATGTTAATGGGATAGTGAGCACGGACACCAGCGACTGGACAATCCTCGCTGCCCTGAGATATCTCTCGCTCCTGGAGAAGGATGCATCTAGGTCCTCGGTTAGGGTGGTCCCATCACCGGGGTGAGTGAGCATGCTGTCGGACGCGTCAGGTCCATAGCCCTTTCCACCGATGGGGCGCTGAACGAGGATGCAAATGACGACCCAAGCATACAGTGCTGCTGCTCCGTACAGCAGGATCAAGTACACGACGTATACGGAACGTTTCAGGGGAACAGAAGATTTTGGGGGGCTGGGCTGGTCGTTGCTGTCCACTGAATGATGCTCGGGACCAGGCGTGGAGACAGGCGAGATGGTAGCTGGGAAAGCGCGATCATCGTGCATTTTACCTGTTGATTTTCATATTTTGTACTCAACGATTTAAGGGTAGGTTGACTTATCCCTCGTCTAGTAGCTGGAGGTTGTTTGCGAACTATATATATAGGACAGTTAAACACAGCCTGATTGCATATTGGGGCGCAGTGGTGATGATGACAGAATATGCGCGACATGTTGTGTGTAAAATCAAGCCTTCTTCTGAGGGCTGAAGGGAGGGTGGAGAAGGCGCTAGTAGTGAGGCGATACATCCCCGTGGTTTCTAAGGCGCTGCTGAGTGGCCGGTTGTCCGTCTCCAAAACAGACCCACGCTCTTCATGCATCCTTAGTGCTGTGGGGCACGACCCCAACTTGATGATAATAGCACGAGACAAATTGGGACCCTTTTTCCCGCACTCTTGTTTGAACCTCGCCTGTCGGCCAAAAAGGTAGGCTAAATCACATGTGCCTTATTTGCCCTACATGTCGGAATGGGTTACTCCGTATAAGGTATCGACCAATAAATCTGTTTGTGTAATAGTTCTGTACTTCACACTTTAGTTAAGATAACATTAGTTAACTAGTTATATAAACATTCCAAGTGGACAGTGCGCCTTCCACTTCTGACATATAAACCGTCACGTTCTCTCCCTGTCATGAAGCCAATCACTAAACTCACTCCCTAACGTCTGAAAACCAGTTGCGGTTCCTAGCGAGGTGAGCTTTCCACCTTGCAGTTCACGACCCCAGGTATCTTTAATACTGCAATGTGATCCAGGCAATGGAGGGCAGTTGGGATATACCTAGCGTACACTGACAGTTTCTGTCGATATCCTGCCCCCTACAGGGCCAAGACTCCAAGAGGCGCAGCACTTTTGGTTCACATGCTGCCCATCTTAGGTGGCGGGACAGTGGACCAATAATCTATCATAATTTAACAACATGTGGTGATCGACATACACGAAGTGGGGGGAATCAGCGAGGTTAGTAGTTGGGTTCCAGCTGTGACGGACATGAATGAACTCTCTGACTTCTTTTAGACCTACTATTCTACCTAACCTGAAGAAGTTATAAGTAAGGACTTGCAGTATGTTATGGGAGAAGCTGAAATAATCTCAATGTCTCTGTTTTACATTCACCAATCAATAATGACTGGCCAATCCAACATAGGATGGTTCTAACTACGGATATCGTCATTCTCGATTATATCGTTAATATCTGCTTAATTGGTGAACTACATGCTTGGGGCTGATATAGTAACATGTCCATGTCAGATAGAAAGGACACAGGAGAATATTAACTGTGAACAGTTGCGTAAAGCTCCAATCGCTACAGAGGAATTGCAAAAGTCTTTAGTCTATACTGAGGTTATCTCTTGACTTGAGACGTGAAATTAAAAATGTACAGATTACTGAGGAAAGATAGAGAAAGCTATCTATGCGGAAACAAGATTTTCGATTGTCAGGCCTTAGTTCATGTTGAAGCAAGAAGGGGTATTATGATGCATGTCTTCTTTATGACCTGCCTTGTAGTAACATTATTTACTTGGGGACCGGTGGCGTGCTTCTTCTTTCTATATAATAATTGCATCTTTCATTTGACCAGGAACGGCTTTGTCAGCCTGAACAAAGCTCATCGCCAACCCATATTAAGACAAGGCGAAACAACAGCCGCCAAGTTCATAGTTGAGATTTCGAGTCCAGCCAGAGTAGGAAACGGCAAGATCTACTTCACTGACATGATCCAAATCTATGCTTGTCGAACAGAGCTCTTCTGAAAAATGACACACTGGTTCAACCTCGTCAGACGGAGGCTGGTGAGTTTCTCCATTGCCCACCCCGTCTCCGAGCTTGGGTATACCAAACGGAGGACTTTGTTCAAAGTCGGGTACAAAGAGCTTATCTTTCATCGCTGACTGGCGCAACTGACATAAAGAACTAATTTTCGTTAGAATGTTTCGGATGGCGGCAATGAAAGTGTTTATGGGATCTCCAGGTCGCATCGATTCGAGACAGCGTATCGCAGCATGGATCCAAGGGATGTAAGATGGAACTGAACTTTCATTTTCTCCGTGGACAATATTGTAGGCGAGGACGAAACAGGCACTACTTAAGAAGTAACCATGATAGCGGGCTTCCTGCCATTCCTTAAATTCAATGTCCCAGTAAAGAAGGCAGTAACGTACTCTGACAAGCTCATTTGTGAGGGCTGCTTCACACAGATATTCTATAGTTCGACAAGCAGCGTTAAGGGCACAGTTACACGCCTCGTTTAGCCAGTTGGGCATTTGTGCACCTGCCCCTGCCGCCTGGGCTGGGTCATGGGGAGTCCGGTGCCATCGTCGACGGAAGAGTAAGAATGGTCGATATGTTAGAAGGATGACATGGTAGTATACTGTACAATTAGTAACTCCCGTTGATAAAGCAACACATAGAGAGCATACATGTTATTAATATTGTCTGTTGTACCCCTAGGCTTCCTGGCCGAGGTTTACTAGATAGGCCAGTACCAAGCGCGCGGCGCATGCAGGCATCGTAGGTCCGTAGGTTGTCCATGACGGATCTAGCTATGTGCCACATCTGTAGCAATGATTTCTCATGTTGGCCGTTTATCCCATCCACTGAACGGTGAATAACCTGGCACAGAGTAACCAGAGTTTGTAAGAATGGATTCGCGGAGGGTTTGATATTGATATCTCTTGGTGAAATGGCGCTTGGTCTGCCCAGGTGGAATGTTACCCAACTAAAGCTTGTTAACGATTCGAAATCTCAGCACCAGAAGGAGCTATAGTGTGTAAATAGAACAAACGTTTCATAAAAGTAAAGTGACCAGAATGTATCTCGTCTCTCTTCGACGCTTTCACTACCATCGTCACTGTTCGCTGGGGGCTCTTTATGCAGCCCGGCAGAGATAGCCTTCCTGGCTGCTGTACCAAGATGCAAGAATGAGGAATTGAATCTCCCTTGTTCAGTTTGGAACTGAGCTTGTTAACTGGCACATCAGAAAATAAATTCAACAGAAATACTTGGGAGGAAAACTTATCATATATAACGAAATTTGGACAGCGGAAAGATTCACCACATCACTCATCGAGGTAATAGTATCATTGACCCTTTGGAACAGAATATCACCCCATTCGCAGTGAGTTGTGCCTAGAGAGCCTAGGGCTAAGGCCATGAAGATAACTAACCGGGACCACGTATCGATCTCAGATCCAGGTACTGGACTATATAAGCTCTCCAAATGTCGACGAAAATTTTCCGCTGGTCGAAATGTTGCCAAGTAATATGACGTCGACAAATACCGTTCCAAGAAAGTCTTTGCTAGGTCTTTGTCGATGAGGACAACAAGCTCTCCAGTTCCTCCATCACCGGGCTTTCCTGAAACACCATCGGTCTCGAATGGGCGACCAAAGAAAATTGGCCGAAAGTTGAACATATCCAGTCCAGGCCCCGTCTCCATAACTCCCCCTCGAGTCTCATTAGACTGGTCGGCCCGATCGGGCATCATCTCCTGATGGAACTCATGCATGAAGGCAAATTGTGATGTTGAACCGTAGTATAGCTGCACCGTGGTGAGTGGAGATGCTGTATCTGTGGCCGAGACCCCATGGTTGAAACTATATTTGACTGTGGATCCTTGATCGTGTGGGATATTTGAAGCTGATAGTTCTTCATTAGGCGACTGTGCATTCTCGGCCTCACATATGCCGCTAGGTAGTTTAGGCATCTTTGTAGGAGCGTCTTCATGCTTGTTGTTTTGGTGTCGTCTCATTCTTCGGCGCACGATATCGCGGTACAAACAAGACGTACCCCTTCGCTGGCATATATTGCAGGGCTTCCCACCGTCACACTTGATCTTCCGCTTCCTACATTCTTGGCATGCCATTCGGAGTCGGTATCCAGTTGGCCTCGGTGGGGGGTCATAGTCGGCCATTTGGAGAGAGGAGAACACTGGGACTAAGATCAACAGACAAAGAAGTTATCTTGTGGTTGTCAGACAGCCATCAATTTGTTCTGCGACACTAAAACTACCAGGCTTTTCCGTGATGTGAAAAACACGCTGTTCTAGACGTCACTTTCCATGCCAAGAACCAACGATTGAAGTCACCGCTTAATCAGCGGGATGAAGATGATGGCTTTCATGGATCTGGCCAGGGTTGGGTCCAGCCTTTGCTTTTTCTTCAAAGGCGTGTTTTGACTCTCTAATATTAGTCTTCTTCAGGCTTATCCAGTGTTCAACTCAGATGATTAATCATTACCAATACAAATATTCTTCTTGCGCCAGGGTTCAACTCAAATGACTAAGGATTATCAATATAGCCCTTAATTCCGCGATCAAAAAAAAAAAAAAAAAAAAAAAAAAAATCATGTGGCTAACTCAGACTGGAATTGAACCTAATAATGCTTTATTTGGTCTTCATTACATTGGTCTTGCCAATGCAATATTCCTGATTTCAGTCCAGTTCACTTATGGCTTCTGTGATATTCACTCTTACCAAGTAACATTCTGGAGATGAAAGAAACGTTCGCGCCCTTAAAGAATGATCTTCTGCTACGAGCCGCGAAAGGTATACTGTCACTTGAAGTACTTATATGGGCGTCGCAGGAACTAACACATTGACAGGCGAGAGTATTCCACGTCCTCCAATATGGGTCATGCGACAAGGTACGTTTTCCCTGTCCTCATTCTCTTCCCACCCCCCTCGCAGTCAATCCATACAAACGTTGTAAGCTCTTTTCTAAAATTTTAATTACCTCAAGCTGGTCGCTATCTCCCAGAGTACCATGAAGTGAAAGGAAACCGTGACTTTTTCGAATGCTGTCGGGACCCTGAAATCGCCTCCACGTTGACCCTTCAACCTGTAGATCGATATGAAGGCCTGATAGATGCCGCAATCATTTTCTCCGATATTCTTGTTATCCCACAGGCATTGGGAATGCATGTTGAGATGATTCATAAGAAAGGTCCTCATTTCCCGGAACCGTTACTGTCGCCGAAAGATAGCCAGTATGCAAAAATAACCCGCAAACAAATCGATATAAGTGTGGATTTGGAGTATGTCTATAAAGCCATTACTCTCACTAGGCAAAAGCTGAATGGTCGTGTCCCCCTCATTGGCTTCTGTGGTGCGCCCTGGACCTTATTCTGCTACATGGTTGAAGGAGGAGAAACCAAAACAGGGCAGTCCAAAGCGTGGATCTACAATTATCCAGCAGAATCGAAAGTATTGTTGCAGAGGGTTGCTGAAACCTGTGTAGAGCATCTTGCTTTACAGATTGCGGCAGGAGCACAATTTGTCCAGGTTTTCGATTCCAAGGCTGGGGAACTATCACCGAGCTCCTTTGACTTATTCGCGCTTCCGTACCTGCGGTATATCTCTGTCACCCTTCCTAGGAGGCTAGAAGAGATGGGCCTGGAGGCAATTCCAATGGCTGTCTTTGCGAAAGGCGCATGGTATGCCGTTGAAAGTCTATGTCAGTCAGGATATGATGTCCTTAGCCTTGACTGGCTTCATGATCCAGAAGAAGCTGTTCGAGTCACGAAAGGTCGCATCACAATCCAGGGCAATGCCGATCCCAGTGTATTATACGGAAACCATGTAGCCATAACAGAAGCAGTTGAAGCAATGGTTAAGGGCTTCACGGTGGGCAGTCGACCTTGGATCGCGAATTTGGGTCACGGTACTGTAAACCTTATACTATTATTCTTTCTCTCGGTAATAGACTAATATTGGTAGGCATTACTCCGCTTGTCAATCCTGAAAATCTCAGATTCTTCTTTGAGGAGATCCACCGCCTGACGGCGTCGTGAAAGTCAGTCAGTGCTCTATACTACTTTACCCACAACCTGGAAGGCTAGGACTATGTTCGATATCTTGTTTAATTTTAACACATTTGGATTGAATTTTGTATTTGAATTCAAGTATGGAAGGGCTTAGTAAATTCCACACTATACCTCTTTAAGTAGGTGCTTTCACGTCCCGATGTAAACAGAGCCCTTTGCTTGGAGCCGAATCTCTCTGATCGCCAACTCTATTGTGCGTTTGGCTAGGCGGTGGTAAAGAGCTTGATTCTCCTGAATAGCCAACCATCTCGTAATGTACCTGGTGCTTGAGATCTAGACAACTGCGCAGTCGCAGGAAGGAAGTCTATGAGTCACAAATTTCCAATTCGCTCTTCACTTTTCCATACCGTCAGGAGGAGATCCTCCTTCCAGACCCACCGCTTTGCGCCGATATCCCGACAGTTAACGTCAAGACCCAGTTTCAGGACCCCATCCAGTGGTAGGTGTTTCCCGCTGACAAAGCGGTTAAATTTGGTCTACGGATAGCTCTTGTCTAAAGGTATAAATATTGAAAGGTAAGGTCTGCAGTTGGTATTCAACAGAGGAACGTAAAGAACACAACTTCGAGAAACATGTCGACATTCAAGTATCATTCTCTACCCGGATTCGGGGAACAATGCCGTGACAAATACGGCTTCAGTGACTCCTGTGTCATAGGCGAGAGAATGATAGTTACAGGCCAAAGTAAGTATTTCAAATTGACCCTGTATATGAGTGTTCAATAACCGTGTCATAGCTGGAATGGATCCCTTGACTCTGAAAACTTCCCCCATTTTCGAGGAAGAAGTCACTCAAGCATTTCAAAACATCAACGATCTCATCCTTCTTACACTCAAGAAAGAAGGCCGCACCATTGAAGAAGCGAAGACGGGCTGGGATTATGTCGTCAAACTACATGCATATCTAGTCGATTTGTCTACCATGAGGGCTCAGGCCAGGGAGACGATGGTGCGTCATATCAAAAAGTTCTGCCCGAATCATCAACCATTGTTTACCATGGTGGGTGTGGAGAGCTTGCCATTTCCTGAACATCGCATTGAACTTGAGGTTGATATCTGGTTAAAATGAGGCTATCTCACGACTTCGTACAGGCTCGGTGACGCTCGGTCACCGCCTGACTCTTGTACCATAAATTAGAAATTCATGTCATCTGTAGATAGCAATGAGTCGCTGGATCTTAGCTAGGCATCACGGTGTAACAGCGGTGGCTTTCTTAGATTTCGAGCCTACAACGACCAAGTTGAAGACAAATTGTTATGTATCGGTATTCGGTGTAGAATCGCTAATGTTGCGTTTAACGTGCCCCATAAACTACATTCCCTACCTTCACCAGCCCTTAATATCCACGGCTCCAAGAAGTCTAAGGCTATCGTTCACCAACTCTAAGGTCAATAGGTTGAATAATACCAAGCAAAAAAAAAAAAAAAAAAGAATCCACCCTTACAGCAGTCCATTATATTTACGTGGGGTAGCAAGAGTCCTGTTACAGTGTACAACTTTGGCTCGTAGGATATCAGGTAGTAGCAAGTGTCACATATATTCGACTCTTCGACTTGTAAAGGCCATTTCTACGAAACCAAATCGTTCATTCCCAGTCGACTTTATAATGTTCAACTTACGTGTTGTCTACCACGGCACCTGTTCACCATTATGTTTTATGAACTTGCCTGAGGTTGTTATTTTGGAGGCTTTGTCAACCTTTCAAGAAGATTAGCAGATCAGCAATCAACCATCCCCCTGTTACAGCACTCTGCTAGGATAGGAAGTGTCAATCGACTATCTTGACATACCTGATTAACAATTCCCTCGACACTTTCGGAAATAGTCATCGGAGCTTTCTCTAGCCCATTGCATTGCGCGCCGCGATTTCCCATATCGGTTTGGACAAACCTAAAGCAGGCACAGATTCTAGGTTAGCAATTGTATGTTGCCAGACTTGTATAATCAAGTACATACCCTGGATCAATCGAGAATGCAATCACATCCGGATATTCTATGTCGACTTTTTTGACAAGGTAGTTGCTGGCTACCTTCGAGGCGCCGTATGCCGCAGTCAACGACGAGTGCTCAAGCCCACTGATGCTGGCTAACTCAGAAGAGATATAAATAAACTTGGGTTGGCTGCTGGCTTGTAGAAGCGGCAAAGTCGCCCGGAATAGTCTCATCGGCCCTAGCGTATTGATGTCAAAGTGGGATAGCAAGTCCGAATCCGTCATGCGTTCCAGGGGGCCGTAGTGATTGCATATTCCGGCATTCGCAATGATGATATCGATTTTTTCAACGGAGTGATGCCTTTGTAGCTGGGAAACTGCATCAAGGACACTATCTGGCTTATCAAGGGTAAGAGAGACAATGATGAGATTAGAGCCGTGGCCTCTGGAAAGCGAGCACAACTCTTTTGTATTCTGTTCAGACTCTTCCCTACATGTCGCAATCACAGTAGTGTTGGCTTTTGCAAGATATGCAGTTACTAGGCCTTTGCCGATACCTGGTAGTGTAGGATTGATTCAGTAAATAGGAGGAGTTGATTATCCTCAAATCTCTAACTAACCTCGGTTTGCACCTGTTACAAGGACAGTGGTTTGTGCCATGGTCAATGCGTCTCAAGATCGAATTCCAGACAGCTTTCCGGCTTCCGTTGCGTGGGCGGAGCGAGACTGTATTTATATAAAAATACGTTTTAAAGAGTATGCTAGTATGTTACTCGGTTTTGGGCATGTCCGAAACCCGACCTCCAATGGACCGAGACGGTTTTAGCGATCTTATAATATGAATGTTATTGTAGGCTGCTGGCTTGTGGTTCCCGATGATTAAGCGGCGCAGGTCCCAAGGTCAACCTCTTAAAAGTTAGCAGATCTTCTGCAGACAGCCCCGCTATCCGCAAGCTTAGTGGATGTGGTGGAGCATGCCAAGTCAAGCCCACTGACTCTATTGAGTTCCTGGGAATGACTATCACGTTCTGCTGCCGATAGCTTTTCACCTTGGAGGACCCCGTGGATCAAAGGTCACGGTTCAAGTCTCGAATTTCCTTGCCTTCCTGCTGGAAGTGAAAGTGATACCTCCGGAAAGTTCGGCTACTTCATGTACGTTGAGCTGCCGAGGTGGTTTGTAGAAGTCACTTTGGATATATTGATCCACTTGGATAGGTGCATATTTGGGAGCTTTCCCGCTGAGAAAGCGTGCTCAATGGTCAACTTGTCTTCATTCAAAAGGTATAAAGATCACCCGTCCCTAACTACAATATAACATAACACAACAGATTTCGAACAGTCGAAAACGTACAGCTCGTTGGACAAATCTCCTTTTCCGAATACACGCCTAGTTTGCAATGTCTCCTCGAACGATCGTTGTCATCGGTGCCACTGGCTCCCAGGTAAGTCCTTTCTAATCAGAACATGTCGTTTTTGTGAACTCCTGGTAACACGTACTTGGTGATAAAACAATACAGGGCGGTGCCGTAGTCAAAGAGCTTCTTGCAAACCGGGACCTTTATCATGTCCGGGCTCTTACGCGCGATCCAAGCAAGCCCGCATCCCAAAGGCTCGCCGCGCTTGGGGCAGAAGTTCGGTCTGCCGACCTTAATAGCGGCAGCGATGCCCTCGCACAGGTTTTCGCTGGCGCTGGTGGTATCTTTGCGCTAACTGACTTCTGGCAAACCCAATCTACCACCACTGAGATTGCGCAAGGGCGCGCTATTGCGGATGCCGCAGCCCGGACTGAAACCCTGAAGCATTTTGTCTGGAGTGCCCTTCCCGACCCTGTCAAGTTGTCAAACGGCCAGCTTCTCAATATCCACCACTGGAAGGGCAAGAGCTTGGTCACTGAGTATATCCAGAAGGAACACCCAGAGTTATGGGCAAAGACCACTACTGTGTTGTTCCCCAATTACTTTGAAAATTGCATCACTACCCCGGATAGATATCTCCCCAAGAAGGTGAGCATGACATGATACTAGGTCTTCCATGTATGATCCTTCTCACTCATTACCAACAGGATGCGAGCGGGGTCTACACTTTATCGTTCCCCCACAGCCCAGAAACGGTAATGCCTAATGTCGCCATCGCCGACACCGGTAAACTTGTGCACAGCATTCTCCAGGCCGGTTCAACCTACTTTACCAAAACAATCGCATTCTACTCGGAGGCACTATCTGAGTCTGAAAAGTTGGCGAGCATCGGAACACGTATGTTACCTTATCAAGTAATATAGCTCTCGGAATAGTCTCTAACCTGTTACTACAGAGTACAACGTGCCCACGAAGTACCAAAAGCTCAGCAGCAGCGAATGTCAGGAGCTTCTGGAATCTCGGGACGGCATGTCCCCTGAAATCGCGCTGGACTTCGCAGAACAATTAATGATGTTTGAGCTCTTTGGTAATGTTTACGCCAACCCGGAATTTGTGCAAGCCAGAGAGGTATGTAACTCCGTCTGCCCGTGTCGGTTATTCAAAGAGTGGCTGACAGCATTTAGATTCCTGGGCTCTCACTTCAAACCTGGTCGGAGTTCATTCGTGAGAATGATCTACGCAGATTCCTATAGAATTTCTAGATATTGTATTGAACTTTCTCAACTAGTCATGTCTTACGGCATTGTGTGTAATTGAACGGTGCCAGGGCTGGTCACGACACATTACATAGGATATCTTTGCATATTTTGTCCTGATCGGAAAAGGAAAGCAAAATGGAAAGTCCTAGGTATCGACTAGTACATGATAATATCCAAAGCCAGCCACAATCATGCTCACTCCCGCTTATTCAGCGGAGAGATGCTTTTCTTTACTTTATAGTTGTATCTATACCCGTAAACTACTGGTCGTACTGGAGTAGTAGTACGCAAAAGCTAAAAAGTCTAATTTATCCTGCAGAATATTTCAATTCATAAAGGCCTATCTTACCAAAAAATCACAAAAATCATAAAACGGCTTTCTATCCACCTGTGGGTGATGCTGGACAGTTATTCAAGCCCATATAATGGGGTCCTGCTCTCCGAGCACAGAGCTGAGACTTGTCATATTCTTTACTTAAATTAATCGATGAAGTCTTCAGAAGAATAAGCGAGCAGCCGGCTTTGAAACGACACGTGTACATACAAGAGGTTATCGCCTTACTCGTAGCTATTTCCGTATCTCCGAATGTATTTTAGTCCCAGAGCGAATAAATCTGCGGTAGGTAGACGGCTTTATGGAACTATATTATCGGCAGGTCGGAACTGGACGGAGAATAGGTATGAGGCAGTGCTAATCCGCCTTGAGAATATATCTATAAGAGTAGCCCCTGTGATCTGGGAACTGTGGCATTCTTATCAGTGACCTTACGCTGCGATTGAAATACTTCCCATTCTAGCGGCCTGCAAATATCTTTCTGAAGTGCCTACCATTGAGCAATACTAACGATGGCCCAACCATCAGCTCTCCCAGCTGGTTCTAAGCTCTGGGTAACACTCTTCCCATTTCAGTGAATAAATCTCAAAGCTAATCAGAAATAGTTTCTCGATCTAGGAATCCTTGATATCGACGCCTCGTACGTTTTATCAGGGGCCAACGTTCCCCTCCACGGCACAGAGCCTCAAACCAATGAGACCCGACCATGCCTCATGATCGCAGGTCTACTCTACCACCCAGACGTGGGTCTCATTCTGTTCGATACTGGGTCCCGCGAGGATGTGATCAAGTCATGGGACAAAGAATTTCTGGAATGTGCACCTCGGATTTGGGACAAGGGTATCCACTCTCTTCCAGCCGCTATTAAAGCCACCGGCGCAGGTGAAATTAGTGATGTCAAGGCTGTCATATTGAGTCACTTGCATCTCGACCATGCCGGAGGTTTAGAGCACTTCTTTGGAACTGGTTAGTGCATGGCGTCTGTTGCTGAATGCTAGCTGACAATGAATAGATGTGGAAATCTGGTGTCATGAAGCTGAACTCAAGAATGCCTTTTGGTCGTGTGCAACTGGAATCGACAGTGGTTTATTTCTGTCAGATTACTTACGAGCAGATCTGTTGAACTGGAAGACTGTCTCGGAGCAGAATGTAACCCTCTGGAGGGGAGTTACTGTACATAGATGTCCGGGACATACGGAAGGATCGCTTGTTCTTGAGCTCACGTTTCGGAGTTCCGGTAGCGTTGTCCTGACCGGTGATCTATTCCATGTGAAGGAAAATTATGAGGATGGAAGACCGACGGGATTTCTCATGCGGGACTATTCCGAGTGGTTTCGAAGCAGAGACTACGTAAGGAGACTGGTGCAACGGACGAATGCAAGGGTTTGTTTAGGCCATGAAAGGAGTTATTTTGAAATGTTTGAGAAAAGCCCCAAGTATTTGGAATGAAAGGAGAGCGTTGAATTTAGAGAAGAACTTTTATTCTCTGAATCGATTCTAGCTTTTACTAAAAAAAAATGCTTCGTGGTATCTACATACCATAGAAGTACGCATATGCTGTCGATACTCTAGGTCAGGAAATTTCATCGATTTAAGCATTCCGAAACATTACCAGATAGTTAACTCTGGGAAGTCTGAGAGACTCAATCCGGCCCGGAAAGCTGATATAATGATTGATAGGTGGTTGTCGAGGGAATTTGTGATTGGGAATGGGTTGTCGGTCCTACAGGAGTATTGTGCGTGCTTTATTGTGGATATGGTATAGAAACAACTTTTCTGTCAATTTGGTAAGTTGAAGATATCGCAACGTCATTTATAGAAACTTGTCAAAACATGCCACCACAGTAGGTCGTACGAAAGTGGGGCTGTTGGTCAGATGGTTTGGAAGACGAGGTTGTTCCAGCGATTCATAGGAAGATATAAACCCCCCCTCATCCGCTTCAATGTAGTCTTTATTTCTCTTTCCACTCCAGGGCAGCGTGAGACGGCCGCAACTGGTGCATGAAGCACGTCTCACCCCAGTATAGCAAATGTTGTCTTTTAAAGACAGAATAAATGCAGGCTCCCGTGCGCTAGGGCCTATACTAAAGGAAATTGACCAAAGCACTAAAGAGGATGAAGTGGACCCGTCATTTCTTTGACTTTGGTGGCTTGGGGCCATAAATCCTTGGAGTATGATCTGCTATGTGTCCCCGCATTTCCACTATATTGCGGCGGGGGCTATTAAGATTTATAATGTCACAGTAGTCACGACCTTGGCTTGGAACTAATAGAAACTGTAAGTTGATTAAGGTTAGTGCCTTATTCCACAAGCCGCGCAACGTCCCACACCTCCGTTAGCAGAAATCTTCTTGGGAGAGCCTACAGGTGAAATGCTCATGCTGATGATACCTCGTGTTCGGTTGGTATTCTAGAGCGGCGGTTATGGCACTAGCGCTATGGATACATGGGTCTGTGTGTGATAAGCTGGGCTGAGCGCGGGGAATGATTGCACGCGTTATATTTCAATAGTTAATAAACCAAGAATAGATTAAAGTAACGGAATAGACATATGTGGAGACGAGCAGCCTTGTCCCTATTAGTCAATAAGACCTAGAGAAGCATGATATATAAAGTCCTAACTAAACAACTAAGGTAAGAAAGTAATGCGGGAATGGTAGTCATATAGAGCGATTCTTATGTAATATGAGATACTCACCCTAACCACGCGACTATAAACAGCATTCAGCCATTGCTCACTTTTCTGGGATTAATTTCTGTAGAATGTGTATGTCTCCATCTGTCGCGTGATGCCCTAATAGACCTATGCTGGTTGGAGCTTGCTTGGCGCCTGTGGACAATACGGGTGCGTGAAAGTACAACATATACTTTTATACATTCTTTGGTTTCGAATTTCGAAAGAACGTGGTTATATCTAGATATATTTATAAAAATTGTCCAGACAACCTCCTCTGTTGGTCCGATGCTTGGCGAAATTCATCAACCTCGAATAAACAGTTTCCCCGAGAGATTCTAGCGTATTGCTATACAAGGTTTGATTGGCCGACAAGCCCGGAACATTCCCAAAGGAGTAATTGTTATTGTTATGGATTTAGGTGGATGGTCCAATAGGACTACTTTGCTTCTACCTAAAAATGCATGGATGTATTCTCCCTGATACAAGTCTCCACCACCTTACCCACCCACAAGCGAAGGTTCCCCCCCGACAAAAAATCTCAACGCCCGAGATAATGACAAAACTCCAAGGCACACAGATACATATATATATATATATTCCCCGGTCTCGCTGTTGGCCCTATCGGTCCTCTTTGATCACATGTCGTCTTGAAAAACGATTGTTGATGACTTTCTACCAAATGAGTAAAAGTCCTGCAGGAGGATATTGGACGCGACCGATGGTGATGCTATCCACGTTATTGTAGAAGGGGTCTCTTCGTGGAGTCGGCCCTCTTGTTGACACGGTCTGAATGTCTGTCCGAATTTCTCGTATTGGCCGAAAAAGTCATGATACGTAGTTCAATTTCGGTCATCCGGTGAATTAACTGATCATCACTTGTTTATCGGCAAAACTCAAGTTTCCGAAGTGTATGGAAGTATTATTTTTGCTTTGAAAGTGGTCTAGGGGACTCTTTGTTAGTGGAGCGGTTTCAGATGTCTCCCGATTCCCACTTACCGATAATAACTCCACAAACCCTAGCGGCCGTGCGCGTTGACACTGATCTGGATAGGAGTCCATTTCCTGCTCGCGGAGGATCGAAGAACGATCTCTGGCGTCAGTCCACAGGGGATCTCTGTGGGAAGGGCGGGTGTGTATTGAAGGAAACAGCTCAGGATATCAGGGGAATATTGTTGGTAGGCGTAGGAGAGGACTGTATTTCCGTCATGGTCCCGGATCGACCAATGGGCACCTCTCTTGAGGAGGAGTTCGACGATGGGGAGGGAGGATAGCTGGGCTGCGATGTGTAATGCAGTTTGGCCGCGGTTGTCGGTGGTTGATGGCTGGATCCCATAGTTGAGTAGCAGTTCGAGGACTTTGACGTCCTTGTGAAGTGCTGCTAAATGGAGGGCTGTTCGGCCGTCGGCATCCTTGGCAGTGAGGACTGTCTTGTCTTTAAGATATTCATTCTCAATGGTAGTTGCATCGCCGATAGTGGCAGCATAGAGAAAAGCCATGTTGGAACCCATGGCTAGAGATGGTATAGAAATAATAAAGATAATAATAATAATAATAAAAATAAAAAGCTAGTTTCTGGCGAGCTTACAAAAGGCAAAGATTTCAGTTCTCAATGATTCAAGAGGACATTCTTCTCTTTTTATTTCAATCAGTGACAAGGTTCAGAAGCTGGTGGCTAGCTGCAGCTACCACCTCGTACTCCTATTATGGGACCAGGTAGGCTATACCTTGAGTAACCGACGCATACAACTGTCGCCTCGTTCATTGACGCCCCCTACAGAAACGGGGGAATTTCCCGCCGACACCCAAGGTCGCGATTCCTTTGTTCATGACAAGCACATGCCCACCTGCCTTCCTGGGCCTAATGTTCATCTCGGAGCCCGTGGAATGAGACCCGAGTTCTACGGGACTTGTGAAGTATCCACTCACAGCGGACGAGAGATGAGTCGGATGCTTCGACTGTCGAGTCAATGTTTCCATTCGAACCGCGCACGTGGTGATCTGATTCGCTCTGGTTATCGTTCGTATCGAGGTCGGGACTAGTTTAGCTGCCTTTTCCGCCGAGTTAAGTTTACGTTAGTATGGGTCGATTTAGAAAAGTGGAGACTGAGCGGGACAACGGTGCTCAGAATGGCCCAGAGTAGCTAAGACGCTTTTTAACCGAATATAAGTCCCTCCTAAATTGGACTTATGGGTAAACTCCGGAGTTCTCCATCTCCAGAATTCCGTCAATCTCCAGACTCCGCAGAGGGTCTGGGGAGGAGTAGTAGTAGTAGTAGTAGTAGTAGTAGTAGTAGTAGTCTTAAATGGCAATGAATCATCCCGACTCGATTGCTAAGGGATGACGAATCTTTTTTAACGCGTATGCTGACAGAAGAAACCGCCGAGAGAGGAGCTAGACAAGTCCATCCGCTCGTCATTGACGTAGTAGATAGCCTTACTGACGATAGCTAAACTCTTAGCCAAGCGAGCCTCCTATCAAAGAGTTTAAAAAGAAGCCCTAATGCACCAGTGGCGGTGCATGCCAGGTGGGGCACCAACCAGTCAGTCTTCGCACATGGGAGCTCCTGACTTCTCTGACTGGCTCTGATCTTAATTTACTCTGTGCTGGCAACGAGGATTTATTACAATTTAACCCGAAGGAGTACCTTGCCGACCCGACGGAGGAGTCTCTCCGTTCCCCGACGAATGTTGGCTAGGTATTATAATTTATGACTGAGAAGGATTACCGACAGGGATCATTAGCGCGGGGTTCGAAGAAAAGTACCAAGAGAAACAAAAAGAACAAAAAAAAAGAATCTTAATTCCTTCCTATCATTACCCCTCCTATTATCTCTTCACAAACGGCATTGTTGATCGCCTCAACTACGAAAAGGCTCTCGTTCCTGTCATTCAGAATATTGATGGGTTTGTTCATGGTCCGTGTCCTCGGCTTCAGTGGGTCGATAAACCTTCGCATTCCAAAGCTTGTCCTATTCTTGGCTTTCTTGTCCTTCACCAATGCGACGGCGCACCATGGAAGTATGCACAATGAATGGAGCGATGATGGATTTCTATCAAGTTCGCATAGGATACTATCCACGTATGATAAGTGTATCTTGATGCTGTGCGGTGCGGTACTTCTCATATGTACCGTTGCATTGTTAGTTCAGGTGCGTTGCCCACATGGCTATTGAGAGGGAGAATCCCACATTGAAACATTGACTGTATATAGGCATGCCGTATCTTGGCCGACATCGCTCGAAAAGAACGTCTTTGGCGACAAGAGGATTATCTAGCGGAAGAGGAGCTACTCATGTCGGCCCTCGAGGCGGGTTATGCAAAAGGCGGCACCCTTCCCCGATATGCGACTCGTTTTGGTGCCCTTTCGGAACAGGAAACCGATGTGAGTGGCGTACGGAAGGTTGTCCTGGTGGTCAATGACACCTATGCGACGAATGTCGCCCAAGATGCCTACGCGGACTGGTTTGTGAGGTGGTGTCATCTTCAGGAGGAAGCCTCGAACTATGCCGCTGAGGGGCCCTCCGATGAAATGACTCCTTTAATTGACGTGGGATCTCCAGCGGCACCGCGGTATTTAGATGGGATTGGGACACCTTCTTCACAGGGGCCTTCGGATGGAGTGACTCCGCTCATCGACGTTGGTTCTCCGGATGCCCAACAAAATTGGGCTGACCCTGCAACCTCTCCTCGGCCGCTTTTGGCTGAATGATTTGCAGCTGCCATCGGACAGAATATTCTGTGCTGATTCAGCAGTTTATCTTTATCCCCCATCGCTTTCGCGTGACCCAAAGTCGAAGGTGATCCGACTCCTCCAGAAATCATGACTAGGCTGTGACTGAGGCAATCCCACCTGACGTGCCAACATGCCGCCATGCCTAGGATCTTAACTCAAGATTCCTTGCCTAAGGGGCATCGGGAGTCTCCTACAGATGCTCTCGAAATTTTTACTTGACCTAAATCCCTATCGCGGTCATGATCCTGGGGTCATAAAGTCATCATTGTCTTGAGAAAGGGAAATAAAGTCCCCTTCTGTTGGCTAGTCGACTATAACAGCATTCGAGACGATGACCCTCATGCTAATCGGGAACGGATCTTGGCCAGGGTGGAGGACATCGCAAGTGCATGATACGATCTATTCAAAAAGGTATATACGTGCTTAACGGACAACAGATACGCATGCTAGTTCCTCGTAATCAATCACTGTCATCACTTGATAGTTACCTTGCATTCGTTACGGGCTCATCCCGGTGGTATTATCCGCATTTGTGAGTGTATATCATTAGCAAAACCCAATCTCTGACGAAGAGCTATCACTATGGCTCTTTATGATGACCGAGCCCTAGATACTAGTGGACGCCATGGCCCAAGGAAGTACAGCCTATGCAAGGTGGCTCGCCTCTACAACAACTTATGGAGCGTATCTAGGGTAAACGATGGTGTCTAGAAACCCTTTCAATTCGCGTAGAGAAAAGGGGAACTATAGTTATACTAACCTTTATACACCCTTTATAGAATATATATCTCCTATACTTTTCAAAGTAATAAATCTTAGTAATAGACAAAAATATAAACTACTAGTATAGGAAACTATCAGAGTAGCGGCCCCACAACTCCATCCAGCCCAAAGTCCATCGAAAACTCTATATCAACATACACGTCCCGAACCTTAGGAAAGGCATGAGCCCTAGCGCATTATCAATAATCATTCTGCAGCTTGTGCTCACGCTATATTAGTTTACATTCACAATCAGTATGAGGGTAGACGCTGCCCACTCTGCTCCATGAGATGTTCTAGCTGAGCAATCGATTGCTTCAGCTCTTCCTCGGTCGGCATGTTGACGATCAGCAGATAAAGCACATCCTGCTGCAGAACCTTCTTAGCAAACCCAGGCTTCTTCTTCTTGCGGTGATATCGCTGCCGTTTCTCTTTAATTGGTTCACTTGGAGGTTCACCGCGAGCAATTCTCTTGGAGTCTTGTGATTCCCTGATGGAAGTCGCAACCCGTTCAATTAGGCACGGCTTGTTCCCCATGAGGCCCCCGGTCAGCACCGAGGTAAGCTTTCCGTTGTTCACCGGGTGATTCGGGTCGTTATATCGTGAGACAAACCCCTTACGCCCCGACTGAGGAACTGCTAGAGAGGACCCTGGGTTTTTGGCTTCCTGGTTCCCGTGAGCGAAGCTCTAGCCGACAAAGCTCAATAAAGTAGCACTCACATATGAGGCCTGCGCCTTCCTATCCATGTAATCTTGTACCCAAGCCCCCGCGCTCTGCATTTTCTCGCGCGTCCCCTCGGATTCCTTCCCCGTGCTCTCCATCGCCCCTGCCGTGGCGCGATCTAAATCGGGATAAACCAACGGCGCAGCCTCCGGGAGCTCGATCTGGCCGTGAGTCTTACCGCTGGCCAGTCTGATGTTTTTCAAACGCTTTTTGACCATGTTCATTTCTGGGTGTTCGTCGGTGTGGGTATACTTCGCGATAGTCGGGCCGGCATCGAATGTTTGTTTCTCGGCTGGCTGGTTGATATCAACCTTCTCGATGCCAAAGAGTGACTTCACAAGCTTCTCTGAGAGTAGGCCAAGGGCCCCCTGCTGTTGATCGGGGGCTTCATCTTTGAATGCCATGACCATAGCGTAGAGGCCACGAGGCATGAATAGGTCTTGGTTCACACGGTCAAGAAAGGTGTTTGAGCGATGACGGGACTGGATCTCACGCGCCGTTCCGGCCACAGTTTGAACGATGATGCTTGTTATCTGAGCTGCTGTTTCAGGGAAGAAGCCCACGATGCCCGCAGCGATATAAACGACCTCGATCCACGCTGAAGCCTGTATCGGCCGTTGTCAACAACCATACATCTACGACGAGAGAGAATGGAAGGGAATGAATGGCTAGCCAACCTTGCTCGCTTGAAAAAAATCCTCTAGAAATTTCAAAAACACATCCTGACCAATACCACAATCGGCTAGCACGGGCGCGTACGCTCGCACAAACCCCCGATCCTTGTTGCCTGGTCTGCGTTGAGGAATTATCACGGGACACGGAACCCGCTGCACCGTCTGAACTGGTCCCGCCATTTGTACAAGACCACGAACCATGTTTTCGTTTTGCTCCTCTTTGGCTTCCTCTGTCTGGCTTGGAGCCGTGGCTGCAGGTTCGGTTACTTCAGATGTCGATAACCGCACATGCTGTGCTGTCTCGTCGAGCTCCCAGACTGCCTCGTCTTGATTTACTCCGCGGTCTAGGTCATCTGGGTTCTTGGACTCGCTATCCACGTTCGAATTATAGCCTGCTTCAGCGGCTTTGCTCTGTTGATTTTCGTTGAAATCAGCCGGCAGCTCTGCGCACCCATCGGGATAAGCTGGTAACTCTGCATACCCCTCGGGATAGGCGGGTAACTCTGCGCGTCCATCCGGGTAGGCCGGTAGTTCTGCGTATCCCTCACGGATGAGCGAGTCGGCCGTTTTGTCGTCGATGACAACATACTCGCTGCCCCCATCAGGGAGACTACCAGCTGTGGACGAAGAAGGGCGATCGCCATGGTTGGACGAGCGGTTGCGGGCGGCATGGATGGCTTCCGAGGTGAAGCCGATGCCCGAGCCTATTAGCTTCACGAGTTTACCCATCTTTGGCAGCGTTGTAAATCAAGGGTTGAAGGGGCTCTTGCAAGAAAACGGGTAGTCTACAGATCTTATACAGAATGAAGTTCTTCCATGTCTATTTCCAGCACAGCCCCCTCCTTACCCCTCAGCACATACGTAGCTCTCCAGATGGGGGCCATAAAACATCAACTTAAGGAATGATAGTGGAAACTATATTCCCATAGCTGATCCATATTGGTCATAGCCTGTATATATGCCTAAGACTTAATCGCCCGCCCGTCAACTACCAACCATATACCGACCCGCTCGGTGGGTCGCAGGATTGGCGGGCTGGGTTAGGGCTTATTGTCGGGTCTCGGTAGAGTTTATTCGCTCAAGTGGTTGAAGTTGTGTGCACCTCACTACTACATGGATACTCCTCGCAGTTGTAGATTAGGCTCACGCTAGACCTATCACGGCACCTGAGATTCTCTGCCACTTAAGATATGATCCCTCGAGAATAGTGTATGTATAGCTTGTTATGGGAAGTCAAAATGACGTTTGTGACCCCATAGTGCTTACAGCCTGATCGTCACTCAGTAGGCTGAATCCGCTGGTTGCAGCTTTCTGCTTTGTTGAATTTTATTTTTATTTTCGAGGGGCGGTTTGTGAAGGCTATTCTTCACCGATGTTGGAAGCATATACCCCCAGACACGCTATCATTGAAGGAATGATCGACAGTTGCCAGGATATCGTCCCCCAACTGTGATGGAGTTTGTAGTATTCCCTATAGCTTTATTTTCATATATTCCTAGGTGACTGGTGCGACATCTATAGCGAGAGCATTGTCTAACAAGAAACACAGAATCTCATAGATAACTATAGACAGACTCCGCACGTTGCTTTGGACCCCTATCGCCCAACGGTTCCTGCAGAGGTCAATCAACTATTATATTATATTTAGTTCCCATAAGGGTAAGCTGGTCTTGGCCAAGACCGCCCTCTTCGCCCATTTCTCATTGAAAAACTCACTTGAATAATTGGTCTAGTCGTGGAAGACGGGATCACATTCATTTCGGCACCAACAATATTTTCTACTGCGCAGTCGAAATGCACTGTCTGTCCACAATGGGGAACCTGCTGGTCGCGCTATAAGGTCAGAGACCAAACTTTAGCAACTCACCCGGTAGACACGAGAAATAAAAACAGTGTCCACGCGTCGCGTCACAACGCCTGGCAGTTCGCACGATTCCTGGGAGGATCTTGCGCAAAACACTGTTGCTAAACATATGTACCTATCTGCCAAAATCGGGCAGTGAATTTGAAGCTTTAGCAATAGTCTGGCGAGAGGCGCTGAAGTGGAGGAGTGTGGAAGCTTAACGTAAACAAGCTCAGCTCAAGCTTCAATCAGCCAGGCATGCATTTAGCCTGAAGTTTGAACACCATGCAATTGTACAGACTAGGAGCTACTTAATTATTCAATCTATTTTTACCCTTGGCCAGGCAGGGCTCCACTTTCGTGCCCGCTAGTCCTATTCGGGTATCTAGGGAGGGTTGAGTCGCCCAGCCAGCTAAACGCATGACTTGACTATTTACATGATAAGGCATTGGCTCTACAGCTGTGGTGAATCCTTGAGTTGTTGAAAACGCAAACATGTTACATTACAGTTCAGTGACGTTCAGTAGAGCAGTATTTTAATTTTCAAGGGTGATTGAGTGTCTTCATCTTTCGTATATATATATATATATATATATCTCTCTCTCTCTTTTTATGTACAACGAAGTCAATTATGTTGATTTCAAGATATTAGTACAGTAACAATAATATTTAGCTGTGAGGTCAACAGCACTGAGTATCGTGCTTCCACGGGCTTCAAATTAGGCAAGCGTCAACACAGTCTAAGATGTGTTGCGAATCTGGCTACCATCCCACTACCCCTAAAGCAGCCGGGTCGGGCGTCTAGAATAAGACGGCTAGGAAGGTATGAATGCACTATATAATTCTCGGCATCTCTCAAAAGAGTACATACGACCATAGGGTGTGGAGAACAGGGCTTCCCGTCCGCTCAGCCGTACTTAAGCCACACGCCGGGAGGTTAGTAGTTGGGTGGGTGACCACCAGCGAATCCCTCCTGTTGTATGTTTTTTGCTTTGTCAAGTCTTATATATATCTGATAGATATCTAATTAGTTGTTACTCTATTATTAGAGAGAGATTATTGCCCTTTCTGTCGTATTCCTATATAAGCAAATATCTGTCAAAGGCGACGCTGAGCTTCTTGTGCGGCAGAGGGGATATCGGGAGTAGTAAATTCCAAGGAGATTGCGAAGACTCTAATTTCCCTCAGGGAAAAGATATTGGAGTTTTCACATAAGCGGAGTGCGGCATTGAATACATTTTTTTTGCTCACGGTCCACATGGTCGATCAAGATTAAGACTATTCATAACTTACTATATCAATAAATAGCTTCCCGCTTCTAATCTGACACTGTTGCCCAGGATCATCTACTTATTAAGTAACTAGAGAAGCTTCTAGAGCTAAAGAATTATGTCGCAGTTCAACTCGTATTGAATATTTACACTAGAAAACCAAGGATACATCTTATCTTCCTAATTAAGAATACCGGGGTAAGGAAAGGAGCTTTGGAGAATATACTAAATACCAAATTCACTTGAATAAATGATAGTATCCCTGAAATGATCTAGCTTGCCTAAAATATGACCCATCCGATATCAGCTATTATACTTGAAAGATCATCCCAGTTAATTCACGTAATTCCTCTTTATTCCTTTCCCTGAAAGACTCTTCAACTTCAAATTATTTATACTCACACCATACTCACTCCTTGAGCCTTTCTTACTCTATTATCACTATCTCCTTCCAGCTTCATAGTCATGCTTTTGATTGACAGAACTATCCGCGCTCTGCGTGGCCGCTTTTTGCCTATCAGTGTATCTGGGAACTTGGATAATCAATATATGGAAATATATAGCATACTCTATAATATATACAAAGAGCTACGTGGTTTAAACACCGAGTCACTTGAATCAGAAAACCTAGAGGGCTGCCAGTACAGCTTATACTACTCGATCTCAAGTGCTACTGAGCCTGCAATACCCTGTCTGTTAAACCATGCGGTCTACTTTATCACGTTCTCCGAAGAGCTTATCAGCCAGTGTCCGATGGATACCACGCACCTTAACACTTAAAAGGGCCTAGATAATATCACAGCAATGCTTAACCCGGGATATAGTAGGGGTGAGAGTGAGTATAGGTTATCAAATCTCTATAGTAAAGCTGGTATTCTCTGTAATTGTCTAGCTATGGAAATACTAAGCTTAAAGTTTAACTGCGATAAAGCAAAGCCAAGCCTGAGTATCGTTATAAAATAGAGATAGAATATGTAAGTCCTAAACTAATATCCTATATTATTATTTAAAAAAAGACTAATTAATTTGAGATCAAGGATTTCCGTCTTGACCCGGATTTTTATTGCTGTGCTTAGGATTATCACAGTGATTATAACTGAAAGATCGACATTTTCTCACACTTGGCCAAGGAATCCTATCTTCCCGCATATTAAGGCCCTCATGCAGCACAGCGAGGTCAAGGATCCTGAGCTGGTCCTTTCAAGGCAGTGGTCATACATCTAGGAGTTGTAGATGCGTCACTTATATACCTTTACAAGTTACGATTGAGTACATACGACCACAGGGTGTGGAGAACAGGGCTTCCCGTCCGCTCAGCCGTACTTAAGCCACACGCCGGGAGGTTAGTAGTTGGGTGGGTGACCACCAGCGAATCCCTCCTGTTGTATGTTTTTTTGCTTTCTCAAAGTCTCAGGTGGCCCTGATCTAATTAGTTGATACTCTATTATTAGAGAGATATTATTGCCCTTTCCTGCTGTATTCCTCAAATAAGCAAATGCCTGTTAAAGACAACACCAGGCTTCCCGCTCACCAGAGGGGACATCGGGAGTAGTGAATTCCAAGGAGATTGCGAAGGCTCTAATTTCCCTCAGGGAAAAGGGCGATATTGGAGTTTTCACATAAGCGGAGTGTGGGGTTGACAATACATCTTTCTGCTCACGGTCCACATGGTCGAGCCAGGTGTTTGAGAATGTGGTTATGGAGGCGTGCACAGACGGCTTTCGCCTTCGTTGGCATATTCCTTGGGCGATCGGTCGATCAAGATCATTCATAACTTACTATATCACCAAATAGCTTCCCACTTCTAACCTGACAGCGTTGCCCAGAATCATCTACGGGTTGGGTAACTTGTGACGCTTCTAGAGCTAATGAAATATGGTGCAGCTCAGCTTGTCTTGGGTATTTAGAATAGAACACCAGGAATGCACCAATGCTATGATGATAATAGACCCTGTCAAGAAGCTAACACCGACTAACGCCAGCTTCATAGTCCGGCGTATATAAACTCTGCGCATATCATTACTAGAAAGGATAATAAGTCGGGGCGATTTTGCCAGCCACACTGGCATGAAGACAACATCTCCAATGATTCAGGAGCAAGAAAACATGTACTGGTTTCATCCGACACGACATCCACGATCGGAGCTATCTTTAGACTAACGCGTCCGTAACAGGTTGAATGGGCGTACTTACACAAAGCTTTATTGAACTCATTATTAGTAACCGGGGTTGGGCACAAGCGCTGCGAGATACTGACCGTTATTATTCCTCCAGCGAACTGATTCCCACATGCATAACCCAAGAAGCGTAGTGTTCCCCATAGCAGACAATACCATAACCACCCGCCAGAAGATCCGTTGAGCGCGGTACCGATTTCCCGGCTTTTGAATGCAGTAAATAAAGGACCGTCTAATATACTGTAAGCCGGTATGAGAAACCAGATAGCCGAAAGATCAGTAGCACGTGGCTTAAGAACCAGCACGTAGAACATCTGCTTATAGACAGCCAGTAGAACGGACAATGTCATAGCCCCTGAACACATCATTGACATGTCACTGGTGGTCAATACATGACGAAGAAACAACGGCATAATAAAGCTTACCGGAGATTTCAATCCATTAGATGAGAGTTATGGGTCACCCTCACAGTGAATGAATACTGGTGTTTCAGTTACTCGGCGCGGAACAGCGGTCCGAATGACATCAACATCCCACATCTTGTGTTATTTCACTTCCGTTTCTTTCCCCTTTACTTTCTCGTTCTGACTACTCTTGGAAACTTCTTCAACTTCAGATTACTCTCCCCCTCGCTCTACTCACTCGTGAATCCTTTTTCACGCAACCTCAACTATCACCTGTGGAGCCTTTCACACTCGAACTATCACTACCACCTCCCGACAACATTATCTCTTTTTCGGACTTCTTAACTATGTCTCTTATCCAGAGAACAATCCGCGCCCTCCGTGGTCGCTTTTCGCGTATCGATCTATCGGAGAAATTGGATGATCAACGCATGGAGATGTATACCATACTCTGGGATATGTACAAAAAGCTACGTGGTCTCAACACAGAGTCACTCGAATTGGAAAACCTAGAGATGCTGGCAGTACATATTCTACCACTGGACCGCACATGTGCTACCGAGCCCGGGACACTGTGTCCGTTAGATCCAGGTGCCTACTTCATTCCCCTCTCCGAAGAGTTTATCAGACACCATCCCTTGGATACCAGGGACCCCGAGACTCAGGAGGATCTAGATATCACCGCAAAACTTCTTAGACCGGGATATAGCAAGAGTAATAGTTGCTACCGGCCCTTAAGTTCCTACAGTAAGGCTGGAATTCTATGCGATCGACTAGCTATGGAAATGTCCACCCGAAGAGTCAACTGCGAAGAAGAATTGTCAACTATAAGTATGGCGACCAAGTGGAGATGGAATACGTAAGCTCCAATATAGTATCTTGTATTAATATTTGGGAAACGACGAACTGATCCGGCTTCAGAGATTTCCATCTCGACCCAGCTTTTTATTCTTACGCTTGGGATCATCGCGATGATTATAACTGGAGAATCGACCTTTTTTATGTCTGCTCAAGTCATCCTACCTTCCCACATATCAAGGTCCTCATGCAACACAGCGATGTCAAGGGCCCCGACTTGGTTCTCAGGGCAGAGATTATGGCGATAGTTGCCACCATGCACTCCCGCCTGTGCACAGAGACTCTCCTTGATCATCTCATTGTTCCGGTTAGTTTTACAGGTTACTTACTCTTCTCTGGATCGCTGCTGATTCTTTTCATCTCTTCTGTTAGGTAATGTTATTCACGTTCGCTGGATACTGCGTGCGCATTCTGATCGGCATCCATGACGGCCAGAATCTGAGGATCTCAATGTCTGAATTCATGGAATACTCGGAAGGATCTCAGGATCTCTGGGATTTGCTTACTCGTTACCTGGGATGTGGTATCAACCATCGGCTGACCACCGAGAAGCTGCCGGCGGAATAGCCTTATGCAGCTCCATCATAGAGACGGACGTGACGGTTACTCGAAGTTTGTGTCAAGGTTTAGGTGGAAATGAATACTGGCTATTGTAGCTTAGATTGTTTGCATCAAGAGTCCGAATTCTCCAGCATTCAGTTGTGAACTTGCCCTTCGTGAAGCTTTGCTCCTGGTATGAATAGGTATTTGTGTTATCTACTAACTACTGTACCTTGTTTGCACAACTATCAAGCTATTAAGATGGTGACAATGATCGCATCCTCCCCACCAGGCTACCGTAGTTCTTAACCCTGGCAAAAACTACAACACTACTTTACCGATATGACTCTGGTGAGAGAGCCTCTCTTTCCTTTTCACCCCGTCTTCCACCAGACCCCTGAGTTATCTCTATATCTAACATCTAGGATCTCGGAAACAACCCCCAAAGCTCTTGTGATAATAAGCAGGGGCACCTACAGTATGGAGACCGGCGATGAAGGTATCGGAAGTATCGGTATCCTCATGCAAACCGGTTCACACACTGCTTATTGTTTCTCAACCACCAGGATGGGGTTAACTGGCTTTAGACAGAGATTCCTGACACAGTTTTGGACGAAACTATAACCAATACTGCACTTGTCCTACTCCACGATGCGGTCCTGGGCTTAGCTCCCTCCGCCGGCTGCGAATTTACTATGTTTAGGGTGGCGTTTGAATCCAACTTTCGTCAGGCAGGATATACGGCGCTAACAGACGGCGCTTTGTAGATTAATGGCGACGAGGAAGACATTAGGGCGATTGTGGAGGTGAAAAAAGGGCGCAGATACGAAAATTACGACAGAATCCGTATGCAAGAGACTCCGGAGCTTGTTGTTGGTTGGCTGAAGAAATCATACAAGCCGTGGAATGAGCTTTTCAATGGCCAGTAAGTCAAACAACCACCCCTCTGCATATTAAATCCAGCAAGATTCTAATTTCAGAGGACGGAAATGAAGTTTGGATCACCTTCGCCGAGCCCAGTTCGACTTACTCTCAGTACCTATCGACAGGCACGCCAATCGATGACGCCTTCTTATACATGTTTACCTACGGCCCTTTTAGGTTGGATCTTGGGGAAGATATGGAGGAGCTCTGTGCCTGCTATTGCTGCCATTGTCTTGCGCGTTGTGTATTCGCTAAGACCACAATAATGCCGATCGCTGGCTTTTCAAGCCTTTCCCGTGGATGGCAGGATTGGAAATCAAGCTCCAAGGATCCAGTTAAACTTTCAGTCTAGACAACTATTTAGGCATCGTCTTCAGGGGTGAAAGATGACGAATAGATGCTTGAACAAGGGAAGCAGAAAAAAAAAAAAAAAAAAAAAAAGGCTGTGTGTAGGAGGGAGTGCACCGATATGTGAAAGATTTTTTAATGTTACAGACGTTGTGGAGTTAGTGTTGCGTGTCAGCGTGATCTTCACGCACTATTAACCACAATGCAACTGAATGCAACCCCGCCTGATCCCTGTAATTATGTGTAATCGAAATTCCAATGACGATCAGATAAATTCGACCCAACCTGATTGCTACAGTTTCCGAGTTCTCTGTCAGACATAATATCTTTTAGCCATGGGATCCGTTGCTGTTGACCAGCCATACCGGCCGACGCCTGCCGATATCACCATTAACAACCGCAAACCGGGAGATCCGTCGAAGATCCTTTTCAAAAATGTCCGTATCCTGGATTCGACCGGGCGGACGCCTTACGATGGAAACGTGTTAATTGAAGGAGAACGTATCGTCGCCGTAGGAGATGTCAGCGACTCAGCCGCCCGCGGCGCATTGGTGATCGACGGCGAAGGCAAGAAAACACTAATGTCTGGCTTAATGGATGCCCATACACATCTCAGCTTTAACAACTCAGCTACCCTGGATGGCCTTACGAGTGCGCCACTCGAAGAACATGTCCTATCGACCGCTCAGTCCGCCAAGACCTACCTCGACTGTGGATATACCATGTGTTTTGGCGCAGCATCAGCTCAGCCTCGGCTCGATATTGCTATCAAGGGTGCCATAAAGTCTGGTATGATACCAGGTCCACGTACACTGTCGAATGCACCGGAGATTACAACCACGGGGGGAGCAATTGTACCCGGTATCTCGCGTAATGCAGATGGGCCGCATGAGATGCGCAAGCAGGTTCGGGAATTCATTATGCTCGGGGCGGATAACATTAAACTGAGCATGAGTGGTGATGACATCCACCCAACAATGCCCAGCACAGAAACGTACTTCACTCTGGAAGAGACAGTAGCTGCAGTGGACGAGGCCCACAACCGAGGGAAACGTGTCTGTGCACACGCGAGAAGTGCTCAATCAGTCAAATTTGCCCTCGAAGCTGGGGTGGACGTTATCTATCACGCCAGTTTTGTTGATGAGGAAGGAATGAACATGCTAGAGCAAAGGAAGGATCAGGTTTGGGTCGCTCCAGCTCTAAACTTCTTCTATACAACCTGCACCGGTGAAGCGACTCCATGGGGGTTGACCGCCGAGGATGCTGCAAAGAAAGGCCTCAAGTACGAGGTGGACACAGCCTGCAAGGCGATGCAAGAGATGCGTAAACGGGGAATACGTGTTATGCCCGGTGGTGATTATGGTTTTGCTTGGGCTCCCCACGGGACATATGCCAGAGATCTGAAACATCTTGTGGACTTATTTGGGTATACTCCGATGGAGAGTATTATTGCCGCAACTGCATGTGGAGGAGAGATGATGGGATATCCAGGCGAATTGGGCAAGGTGGCACTGGGATATTATGCGGATGTGATCCTTGTGGATGGAGATCCTCTGTCTGATTTGGAGGTTTTACAGAAGCAGGAGAGATTGCATGCAATTGTTATTAATGGTCATATCCATAAGCATATTGTACCCTCCCAGGCTGTTTATGCTTAATGGATCGAAGCCAGCAGATTTAGATAGATATTAGATTGAAACTCCGAACACCTTTTATCTCTGTCGGTTGGGACGTGAGTGCCAAGGTTCTACTTTGTCAAGCGCAGCCACTTCATATGTTCCCTCGCGAGGCTGAGACTCAGTCCGTGTCATCCAATTATACTGGCAGCTGCTAAGTTGGCGCAAAGGGCGACTCCAACAGTTCACACCTCCTATGCTGACGGTAATAATCTTTTCGAGGAGAATGAGCGATTCCTCCGCAAAATTGAAAAGATCGAGGTTGTGAGGGAGACACTCCATGCGTCCGTACAGGAATATCAGTCATTAAAATCGTATATATATATACATAGTAGGTGCATGCAGACGTTTACTGGCTACTTAATCTAATCTAATTTCAAAGTCTATCGCACATGCGGTTCCGCGCATACCTAGTTATGACATGCTTTAGCTCGAAAAGTAAAAGTATGCTCGTACGGTGTTACATAAGAGTTGTGATCCCTCATATGTACCGTGAATTCTAGTTTTACCTTCATTAATTTATGATTTGTTCAAGATATCTATGGTTGGCTAATGGGACGAGTTCCTCATTGATTCGGGTGGTCTAGTTTTCAGGGCCGAGGCAATAGTGTCAGATATTGAACCGGTTAAAATTATAGCCCCGATAATGCCGTGCCTAAACGCTTATCAACCATGGGGTTTTGCGATAGTGCGCAATATTATGCAGGGCATAACTTGTCACGTGCACACTTATCTTTTCTGATAACAATCTGCCAGGCTTGCGCTTTCCGATGTCGCTAACACAACAAAAGAGCCTCCTGTAGTGACTAGATCCGCAATGAATCCCTTCGTACAACGGTCTCAGGCAGCCTGGCACCGGGTTGGCTTTGTTTCCCAATTTCCCGACCTCCAATTGGAGGATGACTGCTCTCGGATTGCCCCAAGTTGCAAAGCCTTCAATATCCCCAAGACGAATGTCGGCCCTCCAGTCGAAGCGGACATTGACCTACCCGGAGATTTGAAGGAGCAAGTACTTGTATTCAGATACAAGGGAAAGATTCATGCCATTGACCATGTAAGCGCGTCGAAGACGGAGTCCTTAGCCCAAGCTAACCCTTCCCAGCAATGCCCTCACTCGTCGTTCCCACTTTCACAGGGCAGTCTCTTTGACATTGAAGACTTTGGCATCACCCTCAGTGCGGGGCTCACTTGCCCCAAACATGGCTGGTCCTTTGACATCTTCTCTGGGCAGGCAGACCGTGGCAACTACAAGCTCAAAGTGTGGGAAGTGCAACTGCGGGATCCCCAGACAAAGGATGAGTCTTCCGACAGCATCGACCAAGAGGTCTGGGTGAGGCGGAAGCAGCGAATTGGTTAAGCCGCGACTTCATTCACTTTCAGGACTGTTCATGTCCAGCAACTGCGTACAAGCAATTTGACTCCGGAACCGGTTGGACCTCGGTAGGGCACGTACGTAAGATTCACACCGGGCATCTCCAAGACATGGGGCGATGTCGCATGCCATGTCAGAATCCTTCCTCTGCTGTGAATGCGATATGAAAGGCAGGGTTACGTTTTCCGGAGAAAACAGATACTCATGCTCTCTGTACGAGTACTTGATGCATATCCAGTTGGTAAGGCCACGTTGCTAGCCTCGCATCCCAAAGCCGTTATAGGCCGTGGGCACAATTGTCGCAAACGTGTGTGCTCCTAGTTGCTTGACCGGAGTTATTCAACTGCGCCATTCCGATGGTATGAGATGTATGTGGTAAACTTGTGCGTGCCGCGTTGCAGAAATAGGCTTTTTAAAGCGAACGGACGTGGGATCATTTGGTTAGGACATTTGTATACGGTTCCGAAGCTACATTGATATAGCAATATGACTAATACCAAGGTTAAAGTTTGGATGGGCTGCCTGTGACGTGCACTCAGTAGACCTCGCCACGGTCTTCTAGTACAGAACCGTCGTCGGGTGGCGGGAGATAGCACTGCTCCAATGGGTCATGATCCTTCTGGTGTGACCATGCTAACTAGTTATATCATTTCTTATCCAGCATATTAGTCTATCATAGAGAGTCTTACTCCGGATTCACTTGAATAATGGCGAGTTGGTTGGTTCACATAACGGTGTCTTTCCTCCAGATAACCAACAATGCAGAGCGGACGATTTAACCTATGCTATGAGAGGAATATCATGTCGTCTTCATAAAGCAATGACTCAAGAGCTGAGTCACGTTCGTAAAGCCCAAACAAAAAGAATCCTGCCTTGCGTGTAGGTTTAGGACAAGGGAAATACATGCAGCCCTCGGCAATCTCCGGTCACTTCCATATCCAGTTCATTACTAATACAAGGAGCTAATATTATGATTTCCAGATCTTTCCCAAATTCGTGAAAGATATGAAACGCGATCGGTTTGGCGGGGGATTCGTCTGCCTTGGTAAGGATGGCGTAGTACGGACCATCAGGGAACTAATAGGATACTGGATAGTACCGGGGAAATATTTCAACCGAGTAAACGTAACGGGTCCATGAGGATGGCAAAATAAGATTGTAATAATGGCGTTAAGCCAAGGCAGGGATTGTAATTTATTACCGATGAACTATCTCATTCCGTACGACGTCAAAGGGGAAAACTACGACGTTCGGCCGTTGCACTGACATGGCCGTCTGGGAATACTCCACCGACAGCGAGGAAAACAAGGATAAAAAGAAAAGGAAAGATTTCTATACAAGAGATCCAACAGCCGGATATATCAATTCAGATTCCAGAGAGGATGAATCCACTTTAAGGAGCATGTGATTGTGCACTGCAAGGCCATCAGGCTGGTCAGGTTTCGATATCTCTGAATTCCAAGGAATAGCTGACACCAAGATGTCATACTGTCCTAACAATTTTATAATAATAGGGGGTTTGTTGCATACCACTCAAGTACATTGCTCTTGCTCATATTTGTTGCAGTCACCTTCATTCGCACCAAGGGAGCTTGTGGAGGTTGTGACAAGAATGTGGAAGGGCAAAGGGATGCGACATAATCCATCGCGAAGGTTCACAATAGTGGACCCCTTCTCTCGATGCCCCAGACGAAGCCATAAAGTCGGTTTACAATTCCCGCAGTTTATGTGGGGGAGAAGCCACAAGATCTGATTGGATAAGTACAGCGTGTCAACCATTGGGGCCGCATGCCATACCACGGCGAGGACCAAAGCTCGGCTTCGAGGTATGTAACAACAAGCCGGAGCAGAAAAAGGTTACAACGGCGACGTCACGGACTCAAACTGTTATGAACGGTACTGGACTTGCTATGGAAGTGACAATATATTTATTTTTTTTTTATATTTCTGACGAGGAAAGCTGACCCTGGAGACTGTTTCTTATGCCATAGCTCCGTGGGTTGTCTTAGTTTCATTAAGAGAACTGATGAAAGATATCGTCAGATCCGATATTAACACCTTCCCATTCGGGTTATGATACAGGAAAACCTAATCCACATAAGGGAACGAGGGAAAACCTGCACCAAGGCTAATTACACAATTACAATTATTGTCCTGGGAGATATCCCATTTTTTTTTTGCCTGTATGGTCCACCATAGTTTACTTAGAGCCTGGCATATATTAGTTTCCAAGGGAGTTTAGCGGAACCGTGACCTCTGACTTACCACCGGCGCCAGACATCGTCATCATCATGGCGGTTCCATGGGTCCTTGAAAGCACACTTCACAGATTGTTAGCCGCTGTTCAAGCTTTGTCCTCGTAAACATCTATCACTTACCACTCCGGGGGCGCCTGGAATGGCAGGGCGGCATGAGGCACATGTAAGGCCTTCTTCACAGAAGCCGCCGGGATAGGGGCCACAGATTTCACCTGGCCCGCGAGCTGCAGCGACCAGAGCCGGAGCGCATGTGGCGATGAGGAGAGCAAGTAGCTGCATTTTGAGTGGTTGCAAGACACGGCTTTTCTGTTGCAGAGGGTTCAAGGAGTCGATGATATTTGACTGGTTGGGTTAAAAGATAGAACTTGACAAGATTCCCGGAAGGCTCACAGAGATACTTATACTCACTGCGTTCCCTGTTCTAGATGCGAATCTATGACAACTTGATCACAGTTTTGACTTCATGACTCTTTGAACATCGTGGCTATAAGCGATACCGAGATGTTGGATGCAACTCTAAAGCTATTCCGAAGCACACAGTACAGTAGCTATACACGCCACAGATGCATGTCACCGATGGCTACGAAGGACTCCGAGTAGCGTGCAAGATCATCTGTGCATCATTGATTTCGGAATAACTGTTTTGACTTTTGACACCGGAAGAGCCGAAAAAGGTTCACGGACCGTCCGATCCCAACTCCGCAGCTTCCGTCAACCTTAGTTGAATGGCTGACCCAGTATCCAGACTTCAGTGGCCGGAATCTATGGCTGCTTTCGGTACCTTTGAATGATCCGTACACTGTGTACACGCTGTTCTGAGACAGGGCCTATAATAGTAGTCGGTATCGGGCAATGTTCAACTATAGGATTGCTTACATTGAATTTACCGGCCGTTTCATCGTTGAGAAATTCGGGTCTTTCGGCTTGTGCGTTGAGAAGTAAAAGTAAAGCTAAGGATGAAAGTGGGCCCCCAGCCACACACTGATCATGGCGGGCTTAAGCAGTATAACAATCCAACGAAGTTATAACATGACAGGAAACCCTGCACCACATATGCACATATGAAACCGCTATAGCCTATTCAGGATACCGTAATGCTCTGCAAAAGACGCATACCCCTGTTCACCGTATGCGAAGATAAGCTTGCATGCGCTGATAATCCTACAATATATCATGCAGGTTTTCAATCCCTTATAAGCTCCGCCAATGAGGGATGCTATATATGCGAACCGTTATTCCAGTGTGCCTTGGAATACTGCGGCACAGATGATGGGAGGCTTTCCAATTGTGTCACCGAGTCTTGGCGCTATCTATGCGAGCATACCAGGCCCAATAATGATCACCTGCGAGTTCTTGTTTTCATGACGATTTTCTACTTTCTATAGGGTAAAAGGAATGTACACTATCTCTACCTATATGACCAGATTTTTAAATTTTTAATTTAATTGTTCAACCGCACTTACAGTAGAAACAACTCTGAAACTAAAAAGTGGATTTGATCGAAGTAACTAGTATTATGTATAACTTGTCTCTATGACAGACAGATAGAATATTAGACTACTTACACGACAAGGCTATATTTAGGATACTCTACTATTGTCTTGACTACCTTATCTATTACTAAAAGGCTATCTCTGCGGTTTTAGAATATATTCTTTGTCATCAAATTCAAGACAATGCTGCCATCTGTATTTCTAATAGTAAGGTAGTTTATCAAGAATTGTGTTATCTTCAGTGTCTAAAATCATTATCAATATAGGAGAGGGTATTATTCTGCATCCTTGCAACACTTTCTCTAAAAACATCCAAAATAGGATCTTCTGCTTGATTATCTATGTCTTCTTGTCACACAGCTAAATGTGCTTGGAGTCTTGCTATTAGGACATATTGTTCCACAGTCGTTGGTAATTTTAGAATGTATACCTACCGGACCAGTCTGTTAGCACATGCATATTGTGTTGGAGCCAAGTCTAATCGTATTTATTTCCTTGTTCGTTGTAGGAATCTTTCGGACGCAGCCTTGTATCTGGTGAAGGTCAAGAAGGCTAAGCTGGAACTTGCTGCGAAGGTAGTCATTATGTATATCTCATCTCCGTCTCATGTTTCAGTGAACAATGTAAAAGCAGGAATAGTGTGATCAATAGCGAATGCCTTTTCCTGGTGGAAAAGATCAGTGTTTATGTGCTTCAAGCGGTGATGAAATCTTAGTATGTCTACAGAGTTAGCTCCGCTACCATTCTATCACCTTTTTTCTCGGAATATTTAAATGCACCCTATTCTTTACCTCCTATCTTCATCAGCATCTCCTCCCAACAAAAAA